GGGGGGGGGGGAATCATTCACATCATACTTTATTTTTGTTGTGCTTTTGAAATATTTAGTCGGTTTTGTATGAACGCTCTTTTATTTTGTGTGGGCGATGTGTTATTATAAGCATTATTATTTACAGTTACTTCCAATTTTTGCAGTCTGTGTGAAGGGAAGAACTTAACCTGTGTAGCCTGTGAGCCCGTGGAGAGCACCCTAACACTGACAACACCTATTCCAGAGGAGGATATTGAGCGACCAGCCAGTGAATACTCCTGCAGCAAAATGATGGACTTGGCCTTCCTGATTGATGGCTCCAACAAACTGTCAGAGGAGGACTTTGAACACCTCAAGTCTTTCGTAATTGGGGTGATGAAGAAACTCCACATCTCCCAGAAGAAAATCCGAGTGTCGGTTCTGGTGTACAGGGGTGGTCCCACAATCTATCTCGGCCTTAAGGACATCAAAACAAACTCCCAGATGAGAAAAATTGTCCAAGGCATAAAATACACAGGTGATAAAGAAGCCTCTGCCTCTGAAGTCCTCAAATACATCGTGTTCCACGTGTTTGGGAAAGCAGAGAGGACCAATGCTGCCAGGATTGCAGTGCTGTTCATAGCAAGCAAATCTTCGGGAAAGGTCCGTGGCATCCTCCAGGTGCTGAAGAACAGGGATATCGCAGTAATTCCCGTGGGGATCGGGCCCCACATCAACGTGGAGCAGGTCAAGTTCATTGAAAAGCAGTCACCACTTAACAGATCCTACCGAGTGAGCAACGTTTTAGAGCTGATGGACAGGGAAGATGATCTCATCGACGGCCTGTGCGAGCTGGGACCCGAGGAAAGTTCTCTGTTGCCGGCGACGTCCGCCCCGGTGACGTCCCGTGTCCTGCTTCCCCCTTCGGGACCCACAGCCACACCACCCTCTTCAGCAGAGCCCCCTCCCCGAAAGCTGGACGTTGCTTTTGTTGTGGAAGGCTCTGACAACGTGGGGGAGGAGAATTTCGGTAAAGTCAAGCAGTTCCTCGAGAAGGTGGTCACAGGGATGAACGTGGGATGGGACGATATTCACGTTACCATCATGCAGTACTCAGAGACTGTCACTCTGGAGTATTCCTTTAGGGAAATGCAGTCCAAGGAAAGCATTATTGAGAAGGTGAGGGGCATACCCTACCAAGGGGGGAAGGCTACCAACACTGGGAATGCCCTGGATTACGTTTCCAAACACACATTTACAACGGTGAACGGGGGCAGGCAAGACGTTCCTCGCTTGGTGTATATGGTGTCATCTAGCCCTTCCACTGATGTTATCACACGACCCCCCAGGAGCATAAATGTCATTCCCATAGGCATAACCCCTGGTGCAGATATCCAAGAGCTCAGGAGGATCAGCCAGCCCAATAACCCAATTATCTTGAATAGTTATGACAGACTTATTGAAGAAGCGCCTGAATTAGTGCTGCAGTCATGCTGCTCTCACAGACATTGGACCGAAATTACAGGTAAAATTGGGTGCTTTTTCTGTGTAAGTTCCTCTTTCCTCTGTCCTGTCTCTTCTGTTTACCCCTCAAACTGATGCAATTTGAAGGGCCCCCGTGTCTGGTTTGGTATCTTGTTGTCCAAATGCCAAGGAAGGGCTACCTATCTTCACTGGAGGCTGAGGATGCTGCTTCAGTTCAGCAGAACTGAGCACAGACCTGCTGTGAGCCTTCTGTAGGCTCAGAAATTCTTGTGTTCTTTTGCCATTAAAGTGCAGCAGTTTTCAGAGAGGTTGGAGGAGAAAACCACTTATTCTCCTCTGTCTAGTAGAATACAAAAATTTACTTCCTGTTTCCTGAAGTCTTTATTGGATTTTTCTATTTTTATTGCTTTTGTTTGTTTGGGGGTGATGAGGTTATTTTTTGGGTTTTGTTCGTTTGTTTTTGTTTTGTTTGTTGCTGGTTTGTATTGGTTTTGTTGTTGCTGTTGGTTTTTGTTTTGGTCCCCCGAGAGTAAAATAAAATTAGTAGAAAGCAGGAATTGAAATACCCACGTATCTCACTGAATATGAATCTCGGGGCTTTCATTAAAGGGGCATCACTCACTGTTTTAACTGGTCATTATCCTGCATTGTTTTCCCAAAATACATTCCCAAAATGTCCTTTCTGCTCCTACCCATAGCTTAGCAGATGCTACTTCTGCTTATCATGTATAAAATAACCTTTTCCCCTTCTTCCTCCACCCCTCCCCCAGAGCTTTGCAACAAACCTATGGATGTCCTTTTCCTTCTGGATGGAAGTTCCAATGTTGGAGCAGCAGAGTTCGAGGAAATGAAAAGCTTTGTGCGGGCATTTATTGAAAGCGTCGTGATCGGTACGTACCTGTCTCTTATAACCAAAATACAGGAAGGGCTTGGGTGTTCTTTTGCTTGTAGAGGACAAATCAGCTCCTCAGCGTAGGTTTTTTAATTTTTGTGTTTAAATGACTCATTCCAATTGAAGTTTATCTTGGGGAAATCAGGCTAGACAAGTTTTTTGTTCAGATACGCAGTTCGGTTTCCTCCCAAATCAAGGTGCTGTGGATCAGGGGGATGCAGGTCTGACATCCAGCTCTGGGAGTCGTGGGATGAGGAGTAGCTTGGACATGTGATGGTGAACACTTCCCTGTAAATAATGTGTGTGCCAAGCAGGGCAAGGGGACCCTGCCACAGGATGGAGGTTTACCTGAACGTTATTTTGACAGAAAAACCAAAATACATGTTTTTGGTTAGGTTTTGAATTGGGTTCAGCATACTTGAAAATGATAGCTCAAGTTCAGTTTTGGTCTGAGTAAGAATGGATAATTCAGAGAGGTTTTGCTTTAGGTTTGGTCTGACTAGAAGGTTTTTTAATTTGTGTGCCATTGTACCAAGTCCATCTGCATGGCAGGGGCTACACAGGATCTTGTGTTTTCTCAGTAGCATTTAACAAACCTGGATTATTTTTTTTTTAATTAGAATTGTACTTTTTCAAATCCTTCAAACCATTTCCAGGGAGCAACTGCTGTTACTGATGGTGTTTCCCACTGGGTGTTGATGTGTTTGTGTTATACCTGTGCTTCCAAAAGAGCTCAAAGGGGAAAAGTACAACATTTCTGTATATTTAGAATAACTTGGATTTCTTAGAGATCCTACATGGAAGACACTGATTCTGAAAATTTATAAATTATTTGTAAATTATAAGCAATGTGTTGCCTGGTTCACTTCTGCAAATCTGATATTTTATAACTGTCTATATCAACTCTCAGTTAAGGGTTTTATTCGTACTTCTCACAGAATGTATAACCAGAACCAGGATGTCAGAGGAAAGCACAACTTGGAATTTCTCTTTGTCTGCTTGTGCAGCTCAAGCTCCCTGGATGCCCCATGCACTGTGTCCCTCCAGTGATGTGTGACAGAAGGAATTTTGCCTGGAATGGTGTCATCCAGGGAGCTTGGTCCACCTGACAAATGTGGGGCATCAACCTACTGCTTGTGCAAAACGATGTGCACATAAAAAATGTGATGTCTAGACAACTTTAAAATGGACTAATATTGGAGATCAATAAAATGAAATTCTCCAATCATGGTCAATTTGATTAGGGGTAAAATACTGCATGCTGACTCCTGACAGAAAATCAACTGTTTCCAGCAGTTGCATGTTTTTTTTCATGTGGGTACTGTTCGGTTTTGATCTTTTGATTGAAAACCCAGCTTTCACACCCCGATGGAAAAATCACTGTCTAGTTGTGCTTAACGTAAATCACAACCACAAGAGTATCCTTTAGATTTACTTTAAGGCATTCATATGCACTGCCTAAAGTGTTTATTTTCTGCTTTCTGCTTCAGGTGATACTTCAGTTCACGTGTCAGTCCTGCAATATGCCAGGGAAAATAATCTAGAAATCTCGTGGAATGTGCCTCAGGAGACTGAGAGGCTTGTAGACATGGTGCAGTCCATTCAACAAAGGGAGCAAGGTCCTACCAGACTAGGTGAGTGATTTTGTGCATGTTGATGTTTAAACAACAGGAGGAAACCCCCCCCACCCCAAGAAATGCTAAATATAGGCTTACCCCAAGCACCAGTTTATGCCAGTGCCATTGTGGGAGCATTCTGGATTAGGACTCTTAAGTTGGTTTTTTTTTGTTGTTGTTGTTTTGTTCATTCACACCTTTACTGCGTGTATGTTGCTTGCTAAGGTTCGATTTTTCTCTGTTAAAATGTATTAGTAGGCTACACAAATTATAGTTTATCTTAATGCATTTTGGAAAGAGGCCTTGAAGCAATTCTCAGGGTTTGCATTCATTACCTTCCAAGCCAGCAAAGCGTCACTAAGAAGTAAAGACTTTGATCATTCACCTTTCAGTGCTGATCAGTTGATTAGACATTGAGCAGCAGAACTGCTTACCCTGACTGCAGTAGCTGCCCTTGCCAGATGTTTGTGCTGAGCCAGTGTAACCCCACCTGGCTGGAAACCAGCAAGCCAGCAGTTCTATTCTGTGTGGTTCAGCTCCCTCATCCCAGCTGCTGTTCTGCTTCCACAACTATTTGGGCTGGCACAAGGGCTGAGGATGGTGCCAGGGAGCAAGGACTGCCTAAGGTGACGCTTCAGCTGAAGAGCTGCTGGTGAAATGCCATCATCTTCTGTTCCAGACAACCGAAAAACATGCCCACTTCAATTTTCACGTGCTGAAACATCACACAGATTTCCCGCTGGGTCCGTGGAAACTCAGTGCACCCACATGTATTGTTTGCAGGGCTCAGCAAGGAAAGATTCTCCTGCAGCATATCTGATCTTTCACCAGATATACTGAGAATTTTGCTCTTCTGGATGGGAACCACATTTGTTCTGGCAGACACCTAGCATTAGGGTCCTGTAAGAGTCAAGGAACACACAGATTTTTTAGGGTCTTTGGCCTACTTTGGACTGTAAAGAGTTATTGGTCCAGAAAAAGTGAGAAATAAAACCTGACTTCCATGGTTCGCAGGAGGATTAGCTATGATTGCTTTCTCAGCCTGGAGAAATAAAAATACCAGATGGCTGATGAGACTTCTATAGGCTCGTTGTGGGATAAGCTGCTGCACACAAATAGATAAGTTTTGTGAAGCCTTCCACGTACTGTGCTTAGAAAGGCGCTCGGAACTGCGGGATAAACGGAGCGAACACGGCCCTTGGGAAGTGAGATGGGAGAGGCAACCACATGACATCCTCGTTACTGATTTGTTTATGTCTCCTTGGAAAATGCTCAGAGACCGCGGTGAGGGATGTGCTGCAACAAACCAAAGTGGAACGGGGCAGAAGTTGTTCCTCCCAAATGAAGTAAATGAAAATAAAGTCACTGCGGTCCCGTCCTGCACCTTGTCGTGTGTGTGAGTCCTCCTGGCTGTGTGGGAGACGGTATCCCTGGGAAAAGTGCAGCCAGTCAGGTCTTTGTGTCTGTGCTCTGGCCTCTGGAAATGCAGGGGCTGCTTGAGAAGTGGTGGCTCGGTCAGGATGTTGCAGTTCCTTGGGCAGCTTTGGAAATCTTTCCTAGCCCGTGCTTGCTCGGGATTTACACATCAAAAGTGTCTCTGCTATTAGGCTGGTGATGTTTCTTCTCGTCTGCACTGGCCTCCCTGTGGTGGAAGCACAATCCAGTGTAATCTTTATTCTGTCTTTGCTGATCAAAATCCCACTAATTTGGTCGAAAAAGCTCTGTGCAGAGAGCAGCTATAGGCTCTGTTGCCATCACTGCAGAAAGTGTTCCCTTTTCTGCACCATTTAACCACAAGGAAACTCCAGAAGAGAAAGACCTTTAATTATTAAGAAATAATGAAAAACTACAGAGTATTTGAAGGCATAGAAAGAACAGAAAAAAGCAGCCTGTACTACAAAACTTCCCCATGCTTATGCAGTGGGGGCATTCAATAACATCAGGCACATTTTGGCTCAAGAAACTTATCAGGAAGAAGCTCTGGGGATATTAAGACATCATGAAATTGTGTACAACTTCACCTAAGAAAAACTTAAAAAATAAAGGGAAGAATAACTGCAAGAAGAACTGACTGAACAAGGCTTCATTCAGCTCAAAAAGTGAGCTGTGCAAGAGAACTGAGAATCACATAAAGGTGCCTCTGTTCAGCATTCTTGGGTGTTTAGGAGAGTCATAGGGAAGCACACTGAGCAATCCCTACAGTAAATACTGCTTAACACTTTATAAAAACATGGCTTTGCTTGCTCACAGTGCTAGTAAAAGCCTCTCATTTAGGCTGATGTTTCCCATGCCCACTGCCTGCCTCAGACTCAAAATTTTGGAGGAAGTGTGGCTCAACTGTATTAAAAGCATCATCAGGGAAAGAAATGCGTGTTCCCTCCCACCAAGAAAATAAAACCTGGAACTTTGAGTTATTATGAAAATATTTGATTAACAGCATTCAGCTTTGCCATCATGATTAAGAAGATAAAATATTTCAAACATTTCTTGGGCACCCTGTGCTCTTTCAGATCATTCCATGATGTTCATAATCGCTCCCAGTCTGATATCTGTGATTCAGATTAGCATTCCTTTTAACACATTTTTCCTCCTCCATCCAAATCATTAATGAAACTTTTCAATGAGGCAGAATCTAGTGTAATTCCCTGTAGAATCCCAGTAAACACCTCCAACCCTACTCAACAGATTGTCTTTTTTGAATTATTACTTCAGAATACAATTCTGGCTTAAAAGTCCACCAGGTAATCAAAAAAAAAATTAGGAAAAAACATTATTCAGATAATTAGCCCTTATTAAATAGTCTTGTTGAATTCAACCAAAAAAGAAAAGTTCTTACAAAGCCCTTTCTGACTGTCAGAAGTTGAGCATCAGATTTTCAGAGTCTTAGCTGAGAGGATCATGGAGTACTGCCATCCCTTCTCCTTTCCCCTCCCCAGCCTTGTAGGGTATCTTCTGTTGGTTTTGCTTTAATGATTATTCCAAACATAACTTAATTTTTATACTCTGCAGTATCAGGAAGTCAGGAGTGTATCAGCACTGCAAGATGGAGAGAAGGTTCTATTCTGTGCTGGCAGCCTTGGGAATGACTGAAAATGCCTCTTGATTTAGAAACACCTTTTTTAAAGCAGCCTGTATAGACCAACTGCTATTTTGTTTTCTCCTTTTATTTCTTTGCATTTTTGTTCCCTGGACATGCCCGATGATTTGGGTCAAGCCCTACTGACTGAGCTGTGAATGCTTTTGGCTTTGAGATTTCCATCTTGGTTTCTCATGGCTTGTGTGTCTGATGCCTAAAATCCATGTGAGCGTGGAAGTCATTTGGCTTCCAAAGCCTATTTGTTGCCCCCTTTTTTTTTTCTTTTTTTTTTTTTTTTTTTTTTTTTTTTTTTTTTTTTTTTTTTTTTTTTTTTTTTTTTTTTTTTTTTTTTTTTTTTTTTTTTTTTTTTTTTTTTTTTGGTAGCACATTTTGTATGTAAGAAACAGAGATCATTTGTAAAAATGATACATGAGAGTAACATAATTTACTCTTGCATTCAGTCTGTGGGAACATGTTGGCTGGAAGTGTCCCAGGCCAGGTTGGACGGGGCTCTGAGCAACCTGGGCTGGTGGAAGGTGTCCCTGCCCATGGCAGGGGGTTGGAATGAGATGATCTTTAAGGTCCCTTCCAGCCCAAACCATTCCATGATTCTCTCTCTGTTTCTGTGCTGTGAACGCTCCTTCCAGTCTTAATACAACCTTGTGCTTGGTGTTTATCTCGGTGTAAACACGTTAAATTTCCTTTATTGGTAGGGAAATGTCAGTTTACTGTTGTGTCACAGTAAGGAAGTGTTCGAGTTGGTTGGTTTACAAGCAGTCAATAGTTTTTATTGTGGCCTCTGAGGGATTTGGTATTTCCCTCTGTGGTGAGATGTAGAGACAAGCAGCTGAGAAGTGACAACTTCCAGCTCGGGGTGGGGACTTTGAGTCCTTCTAGCAGGACAAAAGTGTTCATTTGATCATGTCTGGCCCTTTTCCCTGGAGCTGGCTTCAAAATAAGGGGAGAAATCCAAAGAGTTTTTAGGAGGCTAAAACAAATTTTCCATGCGTTAAATTGGGTAACTGTTTTTGGGGGACTTTGGAATAGTCACTGGTTCTGCTGCAGTGGTACTTGATCTCTTTACGAGAAATTATAAAAAATAATGGATTTTGCAGTTTGCAAATATGTATGGAAGTTTCTGAAAATTTTCTGATTTGATGTGAGAAAGAGAAGGGGAGCTGGAGCTGCTGGTGCCCACACCAACACACCAAAGTCAAAGGGTCATTAAAAAAACCCCCAGCAAACAGAGGAATTTCAACTGCTTTTCACAAATTGAATGAAAAATCATTTGTGATTCTTACTGTGCAAAAGTTTAACTTAAAATATTTGAAAGTTAAAACCTGAAATACCTTTTTTTTTTTTTTTTCTTTTTTGTAATTATTTATAGGGCAAAAGGGAAATGAGTCAATCTTTTGGCACAGTGACCATCCTGGAGCAGCAATCTCAGGGATTTGGAGTATAGTCATAATAATTTTCTGTGTTTTGTTTTATCCTCAGTTATTTATAGCTAACCTGCCACTTTGCATCTAACATTCCACCTCTACAGACACAAAGCCATTTGCAGCAAGGCTTGTGAGGCAGCTGTAGAGGACATGAGTGAATACCTGGAGTTAGTTAATTTTTGTGGTCAGGAATAGTAGTTTGGGAAATGGAATCACCATCACCTGAGCAATAACGGTGCTTTAAAATGTGGCTTTTTTGCAAGTAGAAAAACATCCAAAATTTTGAGGTTTTCGCTGGACAGAAACTCAAAAGGGTTTTTGTTTCATATGTAAAATGTAATTCAGAATTACACTGGGAATGAAAATCAAATTATAGGAATGAAATTAATCTACACAGCTGGAAGAACTAAATAAAAGATAGTAATTGCAAAGCAAGAAACAGGAGAGAGATGTCCTGTTGTGTTCTTAAGTGCTGTTGAAAGCTTTCTGTTGAATTTGATTAAAACAAATATGAATCATTCTATTTGAAAAGCTGGGCTTGGGAAAATAGGTGACCTTTTCTGGAGAGGAGATTGATAGTGAAGGTGATGCCAGGCGAGAGATGGAAGATAATAAAAGGAGAAATTGATGTGGATCCTGTTCCTGCTGTGGGTCCAACAGGGGCTGGCAGCAGTTACTGGGTTGGTCCCACTCCCCTTTGTCCTATCACTGTCTGCTCATGCAAAAAGTCACTCTCCCTCTTTTTTTTTAGCTCATTTAAGTACTGAAAGGCTGCAGTGAGGTCTCCCTGGGGTTTTACCTTCTCCAGGCTGAATAACCCCATCTCTCTCAGCCTTATCAATAGTCAACATGCTGAGTGAGGTTCCTAGAGGTTCCCATGCTTGCAGCAGCTTGGGAAAAGGATTTTTTTGCTTCTCTCACTGAATAAAGTTGGGTGACATGATTCATAAAGACAAATTACCAAGCGTTGAGGTGTGCTGAGGTACACTGAGAGTGTGCTGGTGAATTATCTGTGGTCTGACTACCCATGTTTCTCAAATGTGCTTGTTATTATAAAGGGTACGGTGAATTCCTCAGGCAAACCTATTTCTGCTGCACTGTTATGGGCAGATTACTAAGAGGAACTAGCCTTTCAAGTGTTTATTGTTCAGCGGTCACTGTTTGCCCTGAATGTCACATCAGTCACCCGGTACCATTTCTGCTTCCTGACCCGATAACTTCCCAGCCCGAAGGAGCTTTTAAGAAAGCTGCATGTCACGATTCCCAGTGTAAATATTTGTGCAAATACACGTCTAAATGCAAGTATTAACAAAGTGCTCTCTTGCTGAGGTCATGATTTTCAACAAAAATTTGCCTGAGTGTTCACAGATGTTAAATGAAAGGGCAGCAGCTTCCACTTCAAGCCAGTTTGTGATTTGCTGGCTAAGGTAGAATTTCTTTGCAGGTTTTGTGGGATCTGGAGTGGGTTTTTTGGTGGTTGTTGTTGTTGTTTTTAATATGGATCACCCAGTTAGATTATGGGTTAATCTGAGATTACACTCCAGAGAGGTTGCTGGTGGTGGGGAGGCAAGGTGTGCTTTTCACACCCATACTGAAAGCTGACGAAATTCAGGGGGGAACTCAATCTTCTCCCGGAGGGAGAGCAGCTCGTGAGTACACCTCGGCACGATGTGAACTTGTGCGTCGGATCGCCACTGGATGTCACTCTTGCGTGACAATTGGGAAATAAGAACATAATTCCCTGCCATCTGTTCTGTCCTTTTCCAGGAGCGTTACTGTGGAGTTGCACTAAAATGAGGAGCATTATTCTTGTGGCTAGGGGAAGGCAGTAAAGCTCCCATTACTGCAGAAACTGGGTAGCTGAGGATGGTCCTTCTGTGTTGTGATGTGTCAGTAGTGCTGGAAGGTTCTTAACAGCTGAGATCTCTCACGTATCAGCAGTAAAGCAGACATTAAAGTCCTCTAAGAATCACTGTTTTTCAGTACCTACTAATGTAACATACCAATAGTAAAGTAAGATTTAATTTTATAGTTTCCCCGGAGTTATCTATCATATCTTTTATTCATCTCTTCATTTCTTCTCAGGAAATGCCATTGATTTTGTGGTCCAGAATGCCATGTCGGAGTCCCACGGGGGCAGAGCCGGCGCATCGAAGGTCGCCGTAGTCATCGTGTCGGGGAGGTCAGAGGACTCTGTGGAGGCTGCTGCTCTTTCTGCAAGGCTCAACAGTAAATCTCCTCCCACTGTCACTGTCTTTAAATGGAGCTGTTGCTTTTTAAGTAGTGCACTATAACAAAAGATGGAAAGTTAGGACACTGGTGTGTTCGTGTGAGTTCTGGCCTTACTGTGCACAATGTTCTGGTAAGAAACAGACCTGAACAAAATGGGCCTGATGGGGATGCCTTTGAGGTACTGGGAAATTCAGTACCAATCTGCAGTTGAGGCTGAACAGCTTCCACGGGCTTCACACATTAGTGGCATTTTGTTTTCCAAAGTACTGTGGGTAGACAGGGATGACAGGAATGTATCTGATATTATAAAGTCAGTGCTGCTGCAGTACAGTGATCCTTGAAAGGTTCACTGGAATAATAACAATAATATAATATAATAAGAAGAATTAGAGGTTTTGCTCAGATTCTGCACTGACCTGCACAGGAATATACTTCTGCTGTCAGTGTGTGCTGGGTGATGGTTTTCCAGGTTTTCTGTCTGTCGTTTCTGACCTCAGCTTCCTCAGGTGTTCAGCTGAGGAACTTTGACTTCCTTTGAAGGTTGCTCTGGGAGCTATTGAATAAGGCATGGACTACATAGCAACTATCAGCTGTTATTTTTAATTAAATGGTTTGAAAATAATCCAGTTGCCGTGTAACTGAAGAAAGAAAGCAATATATTGAGACCTTTTACATTATAAAAAAAGTGAAGATGTTTTCATTAAGTCTGCAGCTGCATTTTGTTGACCATGCATGATCTTAACTATGCTTGAGATTAATAGAACTCATCCTAGCTAATGCTGTGATGAGAGCATTACCATTTCAGCCTTCAGTTGCCTTTTGTTAACATGGAGGGAATGATGCAAGGAATACATGAAAATTAACTGTTGGAGAAAAACTTTTCCCTGTTTATTTTTTTTTTATGTTTTTTTAAATTTTTATATATAAGAAGCAAATCAAAAAAAACCCCATAGAATCATACAACCGTTTATGTTTAGAAAGACCTTCAAGATCATCAAGTCCAGCTGTTAACCCAGCACTGCCAAGGCCACCACTACACTGTGTTTTCAAGTGCCACACCTACATTCCTTTTAAATATTTCCAGAGATGATGGCTCCACCACTTCCATGAGCAAAGATCTCCTTATCCTGTGCATTGCCTAATTAAAACATTTTCCTTCTTTTTTCCTAGGGGTATCCCTCTTTCCAATTGGTGTTGGCAACAGTTATGATGAAGAGCAGCTAAGGACTTTGGCTGGGCCATCTGCTGCCACCAGAATCATGAAGCTCCAGAATTTTGAAGATCTATCCACTATGATCACACTGAGTAGTGAATTTATCAAAAAAGTGTGCATGGGTAAGTCCAATAGTTGTGGCTGCATGACTGGAGCAAAACACAAAAATTGAAATGCCAAAACCAGAATGATTTTTTGTTTTTCATTTTAGAAGTCAACGCAGCATTGCTTTGTGTTTTACCAACAATCATCACAAATGTTAACACAGACCACTACCATCACTTAGATGTGAGACAAAACCTGAGCCTTTAAAGCGTGTAGCCAGTTGCTATTCCAATCAACCAACTTCCAGCAAGTTTTTTAGAACTGCTTAGGCCTGAGCTGTTGAGCTGTCACCTTCTTTAATAATCAGGGCTGGTGGTCAACTGAAGGACAGCAGGACAGCTCAGGCTGTCATGGCTGAATGGGACGTGCTTCAGAAATGTTAGTTGTGAGTAAAGTTTTCAGATTACATAGTTTTCAGATGTGATGTGTGTGTCTACAAAAAATTCAGCCCAAGTAGAAGAAAATAGAAGAAGAATAAATAATTAACTTTTTCAGGAAAAACCAATACTGGGGGAAAAAAAAAGTGTAACGTATTTTAAACAAACATTAATGCATTTATACATAACAATACTCCTCCTCTAAGGAACCTTGATTCAACACTGACCAGTATTTTATTACTTTTGCCTCCTTGGTCTGTTTGTATATACATATTTATTACACATATTGTTGTTTCTATTCCAACAGCATCTTTGTGTTCTCAGCATAAACTACTGTCTCCTGTAGTGTTAGTCATTGCACAGGTTTTTACCAGCATTACAAGGGCTTAGTTACATCTCCTTCACAATAAGTGGACTTTTTTGCAGAGCCAAGTACCACTGAGCATGAGGAAGTTGCAGAGTGTTCCCAGTCCAGCTTGGAGATATCCGATCGTTCTCCACTGGGATCACTTCTGGCATTTTAAAATCTCTCCAGAGCATCAAACAGCTGCCATTTTCTAGATTTAAACAGCTGCCATTTTCTTTCTTTTCTTTTAAAATAAGGTTTTAGAGATGCATTTCCTCTCTTCACACTGCAAAATGGGCGATTTTTTTCTTGCTGTAAATTACATTGATCCAAGATATAGGATGGGGAGCAGGAATTTGGAACCAGTAACTGTTTTCTTGTTGCAATCTGTGCTATAACCCATTAATACTAGAGGTGAGAGCTCTGTATTTTTATGAAAGCTTATCTAACAGTTCAAAAAACCTTGAATCATAGATATCTAATCTTCAACACCTAAATTTGAAAAATTTAGCTCTTCCTTTTGCTGTTGGTAAAACCTTTGCTGTGGGGTGGAAGACTATCTTACTTCTTTTGTGGGGATTTATTGTCTTATTTGGATTTTTTTTTGTTTGTTTGCTTTGTCTTAAGCTTCTTGCAATCTGTAAAGTATAATTTTCCCCTCCAGACTCACACAGTTGGATTTCTTGTACGGATGGAGCCTTGCCTTATGTATGGAAGTGTACCAAAAATAATACTATTAAAAAGGTTTAAAAGATTTCCTAAGTGCTTTCAAATTACATTACTTGTCCTGGAAAAGACAGAGCATATAGTGAACATAAGATAAGCATAGTATAACATTCTAGAAAGAGTTTTCTAGGCAGTGTTTTAATTTCCTGGATGTGGGTATTGTGTTTTCATGCCATGGTACCTATGAGAGGTTGCTTCCCATTTATCTCTAGGTGTGCAGTGAGAGCACATAAACATAGAAACTGCAGTTCAGTGGGTGTCCTGTGAATATTTAACTGGTTCTATAAAAAACCCTGCTCATCACAGTAATGCCTGAATGTAAAGGAACTGATTTTGAGTGCTCCTATTGCAGCTATTTCCATACTTATGCTGTCTTTGTCTTTAGTAAATGTGTGTGCATGAGAGTGTAAATTCTCATTACCTGCTACTTCCTAGAAATATTCTCAGTTCCTCACATGATTCAGAAGTAAGGCTGGACCCTCACTCAGAGCTAAAGCCATGTTTTTTTTAAAGTACCATCTGGGCAGAGCTGTCAGTGCAAGAAGTGCTGTAGAATTACAGCCCAGCTATTGCTCCCAGGGTGTTTTGGGACCATTTTCATTGCAAAAGTTGGGTAATGGGGGCAGTAACGCAGTTCATACCTCCTGTGACTTACTCTTGTACACTTTGGACAAAAGCCTGCAGCCTTCAGGTAGGGATTCCCACATTCTAACACACACACACACAAATAAACTTCTTACAGCCTTAATTGTGTTTTTAAATAAGCATTCTTGTGTTGTGGGGACCACCGGTTCAAAGGCTGGGTGAGGGGGTGATGTGACTAAAATATGTCTGCTTCTCTTTCAGACCCTGTCAGAGAATGCCTGGATGAGGATGGAAACAAAAAGAAAGTAAGTGAATTGCCTGGGTTGTTCATCCGGCTTTCAAGCTGTAGAGTGTGTGCAGGAGCATGAATATTTTCAGAGATAACATGGGGGAAAAAAAAAAAAGGATGGGAAAATATTAAGAATTACTTTGGAGGAGGAAAATGTTGCCTTTTGAAGTGGTGGGGTAGCTTGCACACAACCTCATCTTGCAGTGTTGAATGCTACTGAAGGCAGTGCAGAACAAAAACTTGTGACAATGTGTGTCCTCCCTGAGAAAGAAAAGTGCTTTTTCCTCTCCTGGGTGGAAGAACTTCTGGGACAGCTAACCATGGCCAAAATAAAGGTGCATCCCTGTGAAAACCCTGTCCTTCTGCTAAAATTACAAATACTTTGTCCCTATGGAAACTTTTTTTTTAGGAAGGTAATTATTGTGTGACGAATATCTCGTTAGGGGAAATCATCTCTGAAGTCATAGAATCAAAGTTCTCCGTGTTCATGTGTGGAAAAGCTCTTATTTATCCTGAGGGAAGTAAACCTTCAAAAGTGATCCAGATCTAAGAGGGCAATGATGTAGATGGTAAAAATGGTTCAGTTTCCTCATCTCAGGTGAAACACCAGGGTTTTTGAGAGTACATGATACTTCATGTACTATATTAGTACATGATATTAATTAGTACACAATATTAATACTAATATTAGTGTAAACTTATACCATGTTTTCCAGTAGGGATCAGTTACAAGCTTTACTCTAGGATTTATCTTGAATTTCTAGCACATTAAATTATTCCTTTGATTTTTCCCTTGTGAAGGCATGACTGTAAGGAAGGATGTGGCTAATAAAGAAATGCTTATGAATTGTCTAGACGCAGGAAATATGTCAAAACTGACTTTCAGGGTTGACCTCGGTCAGCTGGTCAGAACACAGAAAGGCTTTAGCTAAATCAGGCACCAATAATCTGGTGGCTTCGAGGCTGACAGCCTAAATAAGAAAAAAAAAAAAAGCCTCAACAAACAAAAAAATAGATTTGAAAAACTTATTTAATTAAAACAAAACAAAAAAATAATCTGATTATTTGCAATCTGAATTGCATGTGTCCAGGCCTCGTGGCTCCCAGAGCAGACACAGGTATGTGGAGATAAGAGCTGGGAAGGCTGAACTTGAGTTCCAGACATGTCAGATTTCGTTGTTTTCGGTGATAAACCCAAAGCGCAATTTCCGTTCTGGCTGAAAACGCTCCTCGAAGAGAACAGGCCGGGCTCCAGGCCATGGAAAAAAACAACCCACCCTTTCAAAGGGCAGCCTTGGAGAGGAGGGATTTTTGTGTTACCTCTTCTGTCAGCCAGGAAAAAAAAAAAAAAAGAAAAAAAAAAGGAAAAAAAAAGGGTGTTCCAGGGCCCCGTGGTGGGACAGGCTGCTGAGCATCCCTGGGAGCCTCCAGGGCAGCGTGTCCTGGAGCAGCACCCACGCCCTGAAAGCTGCCTCACTGGCAGGAAGATGCCACTGCTCTCTTCCCTTCTAACAGCAAATTCCACGAATCCACGGGGATGAAGAATCGAGGCTCTACCCTGACTCAGAGAACACAGGCTTTTAGGTTGGATTCGCAGCGTTTCAGGGGTTACTCCGAGTCGTTGCAGGAGGCTCAGCTCCCCCGGCGGGATGTCTGTCATGCACCTGGAGACTGTGGGAACTCATCTCGTGCAGTTTGCGAGTAAATCAGAGCACTCAGGATCAAAAATATCAGCCTAAATCCTATCTGTATCATGAACAACACGACTTGTTACCTTTTTGGGGGGGTTTTGTTGTTACCTCAACCCTGGGAAGGATTGTTGAAGGAAGATTCATGGCTAAGGGTCGTTGTTAGTAGCAGAAGGAGAGCAGATCAAATGTGCAGATCAACCCTCTGTATTGTGTGACCAAAAATAGGAGCCAGGGGGAGGAATGTAATTAAAATATGTATGAAAATTCCTTGAACTGTCCCAACCTTGAACAGTTTATGTCTCAGGGACACCCTGAGGTGATCGTGACACTTTTTTATGTTAGGTAGGGCTAGACTGTTTTCTCTCCATGAATTCTTTCAGCCATTCTTTGAATCCACCGAAGTTTTTAGTACTCATCACGTCCAGTGGCAGAGGGTTGCAGGAGTGCTGAATATACAGGGCGTGCAAAGAGCCACTGGTTCAGTATTTGAACTTGCCAGCTGACAGAACATCAGAACAATTATGGTAGATTAATTTTTGTGGTTTTTTTTTTCATTGATTTTCATTATTAGTGTTGTTGTGATGGTTTTCAGCAGGCATAAAGATGGTAGTAGAAGTGTAGGTACTTATATCAGTAGCATTTCAAGATGAAGTTATTTGCATTTCTAGTCTATGCATGGCAGGAAAAAACATGTTCTTAAACTAGCAGTGTCTGTCCCGTGGCTTCTTTAGTACCGCTCAGCTCTTGGCTCAAAGAGCAGACAAACAAACAAACCCTTGGCTAAATTAAAAGGTACCAGCTGAGGAAGCTGCTCGGGGTACATGTCCCTCCCTCCTGCAGATGCACAGCAAGGGAGGAGTGTGCAAGTCCAGGTCTGTAGGTTCAGAGCTCCCTCGGAGAGGAAGTCTGAGGCTTCCTGCGGTGTCCTGGCAGGCTCGCTGCTTTCAGCAGACATCCTTCACGATTTAGAAACCCCTGATTTTCCTTCCCTTTCTGTCCTGTTTAACTCCTACGATTTCACATCAAGTGGGATTTAGGCTTTCTTTGTCTTCAGAGTCCCTGCATTTTCCTCCACACCAGGATTCTTGGCTTTTTTGTGATTCCTCAACTGGTATTTTTGTTTTAATATGCTTCCTCTAGGCTCACAAGCCTGAAGGAGTGAAATAAAAACAATTAAATATGTATGGAAGCCAGACTTGCACAGCTGTATTTGTACCCTTCCAGGTGCTCCTCTTTCAGTGAGTTGTAGGCGAGACAACTATAATTAAAAAACATTCTATTTCTTCCTATCTGAATACTTTTTCTGTATTTAAAGCTCCCCTTGTCACTTTTTCACAGATTCCTTTAGGCTCACAAGCCTGAAAAGTATTAAGCAACTTTCAGTTGCCTTCTCTGAGCCCTGAAACAGGTCCAGTAAATTAACTTGTATTTAATGTGCAATTTTTTATGGCTGTTAATCTGACTGTTCTTGTTTAGAACTGATGGAATCACATAACTCAGAGATACAGAGCAATACTTTCACAGCATTATTCTCAGCTTGAACACCAGTGACAAGACTCATCTGTGAATCATGTTGTTACCCAGTTGTTTTATCCCTTTGCTCTTCTTTTTTTATGGGAATGATGGTTAAAGTGAGAAGGAGATGATGGGAGATGAACTTGCCCCACAGCAATATTTTCTTTTCCATATTTTTATGCTTGTGGATCTCAAGAAGTGTTAGCCCAATTCATAGAACCACTGTCTCACTTGTGCTGGTGTTTCTGGACTCACCTCTGTAGAGACAGCTCTGGGAAGTGCTGTTTCCCACATTTGGGGGTATTCTTGGGAATGCAGGCCTCAGGGATCTGAGGTTTTGAAATTCATTGAGCCTATTTATGGACTTGAAAGTTCTGTGGGATTTGGGCCAGAGAGCTCAGCTTTTTGCAGATCAGAATCTTGAGATACTCCAGATTGTGACCACTTCTATTTCTCAGTCATTTGTTAGTATGTAAATCCTGGTGCCTTAAAACTTAGACTGTTCTTTAGAAACTGAGAGTACATTTTACATCTCATTTTCAGTTTTACAAATCCACTACATCTATCTAATAACACTGATATGCCAAAGGAACAAATTCCCTTTGGGAAGGGGGGAACTGTTTTAAAAAGCTTTGTGTTTTCCTCCCTCCCTGTCCCACCCATCTTTTCACTGTTGAATCTCCATGTCTCCTTGCCCAGCCTGGGGATAAATGGACATTACCAGACCAGTGCCACACCGTGACGTGCTTTCCAGGAGATTACACGGTCCTGGAGAGCCACCACATCAACTGTGAGAGGATGGCCAAGCCGGTGTGTCACAGCAACCTCCCCGCGGTGAAGGTGGACGAAACGTGCGGCTGCCGCTGGATGTGTCCCTGTGAGTACCTGTCTTGGCACATGTTGCCTCTCCTTCCCCATCACCTGAAGTGCTTTCTCAGCAATGCAATGCTGGGTGCAGCTGCTCAGCCACTGTACCCATCCAAGGTGGCTGGAGGAATTGCTGTTTAGTTCCTGTTCGGTGATTAACAGAAATAACCAGGAGCGTGACAGTTGTGCTGCTGCTGGAGTGTCCAATGCTGTTTGCAAGTTGAGCTTATTTTTTGCATTAGTGGAGCTACAGTGTTTTTAATCAGAGAATCCCACACTCGATTTCCAAAGCTGTGTGTACTGGGAAGGAGGATGTATGGAGGCAAGCAGGAATTTACCTCGGCAGGCTGCAAGTGATTTATTCCTGGTCGCCCTCTAGGCTTGAGGGTTTGACCTGAGCTCAACCACACACCTGTATTACAGAAACATCAACAAAAAGTGCTCCCTGTCTCCATATAATCTCACACTCTGTGTGATAGGTGTCTTGGCTGGGATGACAGGAACTGAAGTTAAGTGTACCCACTCACACTTACAGGGTCCAGGGATGCAGCCCTGATGCTGCTGATCATTAAAAATAAAGTAGGCTTACATCTTAAGTAATCAGGTTGCTTTTTGAAAGTAAGTCACAACCCTATATGTAACTTGTCTTCAGAAAGTATAATCTCAGTTTAAAATGTCCTCTCCTAAACTGACTGGTTTAAGAATAATTTGTCTCAGATCCTGCTTGAAATTACTAAGTTGGTAGCTGAATTTTTCATTCATACAAAGTTTTTGCACCCCAAGTTTTAGCATTTCCTAAAATGTGCTTCATTATCCAAACCCTTTAAATTTAACCTTTCTGTTTTGACTCAAGTATTTTAAAAAGGTAGGAAGAGTTTAGTTGGATAGTCTTAAATATTTTTGGTTTGTGTGTTTTGTTTTGGTATCCTTGAGGTTATAATTCTCCTTGTTTTCCAGTCTGTGAAGGCAAGGAAGTGTTTACAACTTAATGGCCAGAACACTGAGCTGTCAGTTGACCACTGCTTTATATTATTTGGTGCATATTATTTCTCTTGTTTTTTTCGTGTTTCCAATCTGGAAAAAAAAAAAGTCCCCAGGTACTGACTTGTGACATATGTCTGATAAGAGTGAAATAGTATTATTTGGTTTCAAATGTAATACTAAACGGAATAAAATCTGATGCCATAATGAAGATACAATGCAAAAATTAATTAGTGTGTTACAGTCTTTCTACAAATACAAAAGGGATTTTCCCTGTTTTATTTTTCATATGATATCTATTACAAAATCATATTCAGTGTGAGCAGATTTCAGGCAAAAGGATTTTCTGTGAGTTTATCCAAATTTCTTGCAATAGTAATTGTTCCAGACAAAGATATTCCAAAGAACCACTACGTGTGATGAAGTATTTACCAAACTTTCTTGTCAATGATTTGCTGCAGCCTTTGCAATTAATTGCTTTCCCCGCCTTCCCAATTAATTGGTTCCACATGCCCATGATGATTGTAGAGAAAATGGTCTTAATTTAAACTCAAGCAAATACCTCTATGGCTTTCTTTGGTGGTGTTTGTTTGTTCGCAGGTGTCTGCATGGGCAGTTCTTCTCGACACATTGTCACCTTCGATGGGCTGAACTTTAAGCTGGCTGGCAATTGCTCCTACACCTTGTTCCAGGACATGCAGCACGATGTTGAAGTTCTCCTCCACGAGGGACCCTGCAGAGCAGCACCGAAGATGAACTGCATGGAGTCCATCGAAGTGAAGCACCGTGGTGCAGCTGTTCAGCTCTTCAGCAACATGGCAGTAAGCTAAACACAACCAACTCACATGTGCACTGGCTGCTTATGCTAGAGAACCCAGATTATGGGGACAAATTTGTGCCCTTTATCCAATTTCTGAACCCTTTCAGCCTATTTTTGGGCTTCTGAGCAAATGCCTCTTCTCGATTTCATGATGCGATCAGTGTTCACAGAACAAGCCAGACATGTTCTTCCCCTTGTTCTCCACGTTGTGCTGGTGTGACAGTGTCAAGAACGTGGGATTTGGCAGCATCTCCCAGACATTTCTGCCAGAAAGGCAGGGATTATAGACAGGACACTGTGCACTGTGATTCTCCTCTTTTGGCAGAGGTCCCTTACAGAGTGTTTTTGTTTGGTGAACTTCATGGCATTAGATTGCTAGTCTGTCAATAGTTGATGTGCAAGGAGTGCATTTATAGGGGAAAATGTTGAACGAGTTGTTCATGTAACTCACAAAATGAAGGTAAAGTATTTCTGTAGGTTTTCAGACTCAATAGGAAGTTTCAGCAAAATTGATTCTTATGTCCAGATTCAGCTGGACCTTCAAGTACTTGTGAAGTCAAAATGGGCTTCAACTGTAAATTTGGGTTGATTTTTAACTGCTTGCTAAAACTGATGTGATGACCTTGCCTTTTTTGAAAACAGGTGACTGTAAATGGTGAAAGGGTTCGTATCCCCTACTCTAACTCCTTGTTTGGAGTCACTGTCTATGGAGCAGTAATGCATGAAATCCAGTTCTTCCATCTTGGACATAATCTCACATTTACTCCAATAAACAACGAATTTCTTCTTAAACTTAACTCAAAGAGCTTTTCTTCAGGAACAAAAGGCCTTTGTGGTAAGTTTTAAAGATAGTAGTTTTAACAGCTCCCCACTTGGGCTTGAGCTTCTATTTATTTTATTGTTTTTGTGTGTCTTTGAACCTGTAAACTCTTCCCCCACTGCTGAGGGAACATTGCAAATCTGGGCAGTTTTTTCTACTGTGGCCACCAGTGTAAGAGCTCACTGACCACTGATTTCCAGTAATGCCTTAGAAAGGGCAGGTGTGACTGCTCCTGTGTTTTTCTTACTTCAAGTTATATTTTCAAGGAGATTTGTGCCTTTTTTTTTTGCATGAGGGTTGAACTTAAGATCGTTGCATATGTGTTTATGAGAGACATGACCTATGCTTGGAAGGAAGGTTGAATGTTGGAGAGGTCAACTACTACCTGAGAGAATCAATTCTATGGTATCTTCAGTGGTATAATCCATGGTTAGATTAAATCTCTGAGGCAGAACCTGTAACCTCCTTTGAAAAGGAAATAGGAACAAAGACCCAGGGTGTTCGTGCCTCTATTTATAATAGGAATGATAAGGATTATAACTGTTCTGGACCCCTCAGTTTAGGAAGGTTATTGAGGTGCTGGAGTGTGTCCAAAGAAGGGCAGTGAGGCTGGGGAAGGGACTGGAGCACAAGTGCTGTGAGCAGAGGCTGAGGGAGCTGGGGTTGTTGAGCCTGGAGAAGAGGAGGCTCAGGGGTGACCTCATCACTCTCTACAACTCCCTGAGAGGAGGCTGTAGCCAGGTGGGGGTCAGTCTCTTCTCCCAGGAACCAGCAGTAGGACAAGAGGGTAGAGTCTCCAGCTGCACCAGGGGAGGTTTAGGTTGGACATCAGGAAAAAGTTCTTTACAGAGAGAATGACTGGGCATTGGAATGGGCTGCCCAGGGAGGTGGTGGAGTCACCGTCCCTGGAGGTGTTCCAGAAGAGACTGGATGTGGCACTTGGTGCCATGGTCCGGGTGCCAAGGTGCTGTGGGGTCAAAGGATGGGCTCAATGATCTCAGAGGTCATTTCCAACGTAGCTGATTCCTTTCTCTCCGCCTTGGTAGTCACCGAGCCACCCCAACCAGTGCCATCCATCCTGTCCCTGTTTTCTCCAGGTTCATTTTATCTCTGACTGTGTTCAGACTCTTCCTGTTCCTCTCTCTCTGGCAGGGGTGTGTGACCAGAACCACATCAACGACTTCACGCTGCGCAACGGCTCCGTCACCCCTGACAGCAGCGCGTTCATCCAGGACTGGACAGTGGAAGAGCCGGGGAAGGTCTGTGAGATCCGCAGGGAGGACAAGTGCTCCGAGCACGCCACGAGCCACTGCCACCTCCTGCTCTCCGACCAGTTTGCCGAGTGCCACGGCGTCATCTCCCCCAACACGTTCTACGAGGCCTGCATGGAGAGCAGCTGCTACGAGGACGAGGCCTGTGAGATGATCACCTCCTACGCTCACCTCTGCGGGGAGCACGGCGTCTGCGTGCGCTGGAGGGCACCCCACATCTGCCGTAAGGGTCTCACTCTCTGCCTTGGAGCTGCTAGAGAAATTGTCTCGCTGTGGGATGGTGGTGGCAGAGACCATCCTGTCAGTGCAATATTGATTTTTGAAGGCTGTGCGACAGGGCAGGGGTTCCAGGTCACGTTTATTGTACGGGTCATGTTGACATCAAATAGCTAGACTAGTTTGCCATCCACTAAGCTGCACGTTGTGGAGAAAGTTGGTAAGCTGCTGATCAGTTAAATGCAAGGCTAGAGGGGTAAAAACACTGTGAAAGCTGTGCACAGGTACACACAGCTGTGTGAGAGTACCTGACTTTGCAGCCACTGAACCATCGTGGGGTTGGACTGAGAGCCTGCTCTCAATCTCCAGTTTTAGCAGCAGATGTCCTTGCTCTGATATAGACATTGGAGGGTCTGAGGTGGCCCATGGAAACTCATGATTTGGACGAGTGGAACTGCTTCCCATACTGTGCATAACAAGACTTTTCTTTGTAGTTGGTGCATAAAATTCCACCCATTTCAATCAAAGCCTAAACTTTTGAGAATGTGATGGAAGAGCCGGTGAGATTTGGAGTTTCTGCTGTGGGGAGAAATCGGGAAAGGCCACTCTCTGTGGTGTCATTTCTTGCCAGGACATGCCATGCTATACTGATTGAACCTGCTGTAATTTGCTCTGCAAATTCGGTTCTCCTTCTGCCTGTGTGTTGCTTGCGTTTTGGAAGCGAAAAGTCTGTGCTGTGAGAAGGCAGCACAGCAGGATGTGAGTCCTGCAAATTACCCAGAACCCAGTCAAGACAAGCATGCTAGTGCCAAATTCAGACAGTTATTGCTTTGTATACCTTCTGTCCTAAATTCAAGTGCTTCTGCTTTATCCTCCTGTTTCTTCTCCTCTTGGCCTGTCTGCAGTGATGGCAGTGGGCATTCAGATTTTCACTCAGTACTTCATTTGAGTATCTCAGATATATACATATGGAGGCATTTTGTTTCCCAGCCACCTCCTCATGACACTGTCTTGATTTCCCAGTTGGTTTTCACATCTTCTACCTCTCTACTTTAGTAAGTTCTTGTTTCTTTGCCTTCTTCCCTTCTTTCTGCCCAGGTACTTTTCATTTCAGGACTGGAGAACCAGCATGATAGCACAAAAGCTCAGTCCATGCTTTGCTTTTGTCCATGTTTTAAACTCAGACTGAGGGAATGATGAGATAGGAAGTCAAAAATGTGAATGTGAATTAGGCCTGAAGCCCCAGTTAGTGTTTTAAATATCTTTCCAGGATAATAGGTTATTGAACACAACCTGTTCAGAATACAGTCCTAGAAAGCAGAGAGAGAATACTGCCAACCTATATCCCAAGTTAGTGCTTCATTCAGACTTTGCAAATGGTTCCATCCAAAGCTGGATGTCCATGGATTACCTTAATAACTCTGCAGTTTTCAAATTCCCCTCTGGCTCCACAGTGTGTGCAAGGATAGACAAAGAGCTGCTCATTTCAACACTAGTTACATAAAAGTCTTTAGTGTCCTAACAACAGCATCATCATCCTCCTTCAGGCACGTGCCTGTATGCAATTACCAAAATAAAGGTGCCAACATTTTGTTTATACAGATTATACTAATGATTAAATAGTCAGTACAGGTAATCACTCTACCAAAACATGTTTAATAGCAATGGCTTGTTTCTGGGTTGCCTTGCTTCTTTTTCCACAATCCAGTGAGACCCTGTCATTCTTTCGGAGTTTGATCTGGAGGTTTTTGTTGTGCCATATTGGGACATTCCAAGCAGTACAAGACCTTGCTGACTGCTCTGCCTGGGTGGGTGAATGCAGTTTCTGGAATCCAGATATATTCACCGTAGAAAAGAGAAGCTTCAGGGTGACCTAATTGTGGCCTCCCAGGCACTGAAAGGAGCCCACAAGAAAGATGATGAGACTATTTCTGAGGGCCTGGACTGACAGGACAAGGGGCAATGGCTTCAAACTGACAGAGAGCAGGTTCAGATTGGATACTGGGAAGAAATTCTTCCCTGGGAGGGTGGGGAGGCCCTGGCACAGGTTGCCCAGAGAAGCTGTGGCTGCCCCATCCCTGGCAGTGTCCCAGGCCAGGTTGGATGGGGCTCTGAGCAACCTGGGCTGGTGGAAGGTGTCCCTGCCCATGGCAAGAGGTTGGGACTGGATGATCTTTAAGGTCCCTCTCAACTCTCAGCGTTCTATGATTCTATGAAATAATTGTATTAAATGTGGCTTGAAGGAGGAAAGGGTTAATGTTAAATACATTTCTTTTCTGTTTCCTTTGGCTGCTAAGTAGGGTGTGTGTAGACAGTTCAGCTGATGAATGTTTATTTGGGATCTCAGGTCTTCATTCAGTAATTTTCTTTCAGTGTTTTCTGTCATGGGACTGAAAAAAAGTTTTATTAACCTCACAGCAGTCACAGACTGGGAAATAAGAAACACTTTTCCTAATTGAAGCTGTAGAGAAAAAATAAAGTAGGCTTGAGGGAGTACACAGTATGGAAGCTGTGTCCATAGGTTTCTTGAATAGTTGGAGCCTTAATTTTATGTTTGCATTTAGAGACAATGCTCTCAGTGTTGTGAATGCATCATTAAAAATTTTAGAGGGACTTAGAGGGGAATGCACGTTTCCTTAAATCAGTTAATTCTGTTAATGTGGCAATTCAGTTAAAAAGAAACAGAAATCCAGCAGGTGCAGTTTTGAAGCACCAGAATGTTCGGATTTTTGGTTTTCTTTTGTTTCTTGGGAACACTGTGGCCTGTCAAGTTGCTAAAAAAAAAAAATCAGAAATTTATTTATGCTTTAGTCTGTCCTGGATGTTTCCTAACCCTGCACTGTTACCAGTGCTTCTCTAATGCACATAAAGGTGGCTCTAAATTCTTATGTCTCTGGCCCAGTGTTGAAAACAAAGTTAGACAGGTGAGCAACTCATCCAAGCCTTCACATCATTGTCAGAGTTAAGTCATGTGTGGTTGATTCACATGGTTTGCTGATTTGTGCATGGACTGTAACTGAGACAAATGCCTTCCATCACTTTCCACTGTGGATTTTGTTAGTATTAAAAAACATATTTTCCAAGGTGTTAGTGTCTGCCAAGGCTGATGGCCTTCTAAAACCCCAAGAATTCCGAAGAAAGCTTGAGTGGGAAGACTGATCTGCCTTTCAGATCTCTTCAGATAAAGGTGGTTGTTTGTTTTTTCTCTGTCTTCCTCAGCCATGAAATGTGCCCCGCATCTGACGTACGATCACTGCCACAGAGCCTGCGTGAAGAGCTGTGAGAACAGCACCACAGCCAGTGTCTGCAAGGATCATCCCACAGAGGGCTGCTTCTGTCCAGAGGGACAGGTGATTTTTGGTGACAGCTGTGTCAGCGAAGAGGTCTGCACGCAGTGTGTCGCTGAAGATGGCACGCGCCACCAGGTAACCACAAAACACGGCACCTTCCCTTTGTGAGTGGCTGGGGTTTGCACTTTCACAAGGAAATCTGTCCTATAAGTCTAATCCCCCTTGGATACTTTATCTTTTAGCTCAGTTCCTCGTAACTGGCCGGCTGTCAGCCCCTTGTAGCTCCCTTACTGTGTGAAATTGGCTGGGATGGATGTAAAATTCACAACTGGGACTGTGCAGACCTGCAAAGGCAGGACAAATCCATGGAGAGGGAAGTCCAGGGAAAGAGTGGAGAGATGGCATAAGCCCCATTCAGCAGGCTTTTGCCTGTAATGACAATTTAATCATAAATCTGTAACCCTTATTTATAATGTACTGTGCTGTCTTTGCAAAGTTTACTGAATTCTTTAGGAGGGGCAGAGGAGGGGCAGGCACTGATTTCTGCTCTCTGTGACCCGTGACAGGATCCAAGGGAATGGCCAGAGTGTCAGGGCAGGGTTGGGTTGTATATTGGGGAAAGGTTCTTTACACTGAATAAAACCTGCACGAAGAGCAAATGTTGTGATTCTCTTTCTCTCCGTGTCTTGAAACAGCCACAATCTTTACACCCACCCACCTGAAAATGTAGGAATTCTCTGTCTGCTGCCTTCTCAGGACTTGTTAACCCTGGGGCCACTGAGTGTCCTGGCAGAGGGCAGAGTTGTTTTCCCAAGCCTTGAGATAGTTTACTGTCAATACATCAATGCAAGCTTTCTTCGACGAAGATGTATTTTCTATGGATTAACCAGCCCTATGTGATTTGGTTCCTAAGCTTTGTTAAACCTCTGGTTGGCCTTTTAGCCTTGCCATGTGGTTAACCTTGGAAAATAAACTGTCTTTTTAGACCCCTAAGGATGGTTTAAAACATGTAAATATCACTGGGTGCAGGTGGCAGTATAATCAGATATTGCCTTCCTTTCTTCTCCATCACTCAAGGGCTCAGCAGAGTGTTAGTTTTGCTCCAGAGTTTTCTGGATGAACCACTTTCCTTTGTGCCATCCTAACCTGGTTCAGTTGTGCAAATTAACATTATTATCCTATAATGAATCTTTTCCCTCATACCTCCCTATTCACATTGGTGTTATATGTGGATAATTCTGCAGAGGTAACTACATCTTTAATGTCAGTGATTTCCTCTCTCTCATGGGAAGGAGCAGGGGTTGAAAAATCACTTTACTGGCTGTTTCTGAACATGCTTGTCACCTCCAGGTAGTTTCAGTTTTGGGGATGCTTTAGTGCTTTTCTAGGCTTCAGTCCACTGGAGAATCAAGTGATGACACTCCAAATATTCTTAATTAAAAAAAAAAAAAAAAGGCAGTTTATTTCTCTGTTTTTAAGTATTACCAATTTGGGAAAGCAGACACTTCTATGTATTTCCCAAAATAATGGTGTTTCCCTTATTACCCCTGAACATGCAATCATGGTATGTAATTGCTCTACTGTTACTCACAATAGCCTGCAGTTGCATTTATAATATCTGAACATTTTTCATGCTTAAAACAATAGTAATTCCTCATCCCATTCATGCATTCTTTACATCCTTTGCTAAGTTGGTACATTGCAGTCATTTCAGAATTATGTGTCTCCTTAGTCTCTTAGTGTTAACACAGCAACCAGCCAACCCTCCACGGAGACTTCTGATTTTCCCAGTTAGTGTTACTCACTCTCACCCATTCCCATCACCAGAATATTTGATTTCTTTCTAAAAAACTGTTCTTGTTTTTTTTTTTTTCACGCAGCACCTGGAAACGTGGATTCCTGCCGATGAGCCCTGCATGATCTGCACGTGCCTTGATAACCAGAAAATAAACTGCACGGTCCGACCTTGCCCAACTCTCAAACGTAAATCCATTTTGCTCTAAGTGTGACTGGGCTTGGATTGATGTTTTTGGTACCCTGTTTTTTTTTCTAGTTCTAACCCAAACTTGTTTTATGGATGTTTTCTTCTCATTCCAGCTGCTCAATGTGGTCCATGTGAAATCCCTCACCTGCGCTGGGGCCCTGGCCAGTGCTGCCCTGAGTACGAGTGTGGTAGGTTCTCAGAAACTTTTGGATTCTTCTCTGTCTGAATTTTACCAGATATTCCTAAGGTTTATAATCCTTTTTTTAAAAATTATATTACTATTTATTTAAATGCTGCATTTTTGAGACCATTGACTGACTGTGCAATCATCCATGTAGAAAAAGAAAGAACTCCTAAGGATGTGCTTCTCCCTTCACTTCCAGCTTTGTCCCTCTTTCTGTAACAGATGAGGAAGGGAACAGAGCAATTTGTTTTGGTCTAAGTGACACTAGAACAGTCTTTTTTCAAGTATCTATTTTTTGCATGGTCTCTATTAGCACATTAAATATAACATTAGAGCCTTAATCCCCGTAACCCAAGCTCGAACTCTTCTCTAAGCTATTTTGAAAACTGGCTCTGACCTATTGATCTCTAATGCACTTCATATTTTAGGGCAGCAATTGAGTGTAGGAGAAAAAGAAGTTTAATGGGGATGTGCATGTTTGTGTGTGTGTCTTGAGAACTGACTTAGTCAGGCATGGTCCTAAACATTCCCAATTTCTGTTCTTAGTCTGTGATCTGGTTTCCTGTCATTTGCCTCCTGCCCCTGTCTGTGAGTTTGGCCAGCAGATTGCTCTGACCAACCCCGGAGAGTGCAGACCAAATTACACATGTGGTAAGATATTTTTTTCCTTAGCAGGGGAGTGACACTGGAACATTGCACTTGAGCAACACTGACAACTTCCTTTAGATATTATTTTTTTTCCCCCCCTCTGAAAGGTTTAATTTTGAAGCCGACTGACATGTGATGATTTCACAAACTTGAAAGAAGAGGGTGTTGTGGACACTTTCTGAGTACACTTTTGAATTAAGGACTAGAGAAACACTTTGCTCCTGGCCGTGTGCGCTCTGACCTCTATCTTAATTTTACACATCTTGCTTGTGCACGAGACAAGAATTTTTTTGGCAGGGCAGGGAAGTTTTCCTGAAGCTGCAGCGCGCTCTTTGACCCGAGCCTTTTATATCTGCGTTACTTCTTTAGTCTTTAAGTAGATTTACAGCAGCTTGCAGTAGCAATGAGTGCCTTGCTGCCAGAGAACTGCCTTGTTCTCTAGCAGTGCTCGGCAATTTGACACAGTACCCACCTTTTCCTGGTAGCCTGCAACAGGGAAGCGTGCAGCTCGATTCCCAAACCCTCCTGCCCACCCCATCGGGAGCTGACTGTCACCAGGACCGAGTGCTGTGACAAATACGAGTGCACCTGCAGCTGTAGGAACTCGACAGTGAGCTGCCCCCTGGGATATCTCTCCAGCTCTCTCACCAATGACTGTGGCTGTGTCTCCACCACCTGCGTTCCAGACAGGGTAAGGGAAAAGAAATGTCTTCTCCACAGATGACAGAGTCTTTTGTGCAGGGAGTGGCAGCACCAAAGGAAGGAGGTGTTAACAAACAAGTGGGACTGCTGGAAAATGGTGCTAGGGCACTTTTAATTTACATGTGGCTGAAAGGCACCGGGTTGCTCCTTCTATTCCAGTAATTTATTCTGACAGAACCAACCCATGACTTTGAGACAACCAGATTTTTTTTAAAAAATATAAATATAAACATATATATATATATAAAAACTTATATATATATATATATATAAAACATATACATATATATACACCAAACCCATTTGAAACTGAAAGGTCATGCAAACAGGAACCTAACAGGTCATTTTTAGATTTTCAGTTTGGTTTTGGATAACAGGGCTACATGCCTTTGCATCACTAAAGTTAATATATATTCTTCCAATCCCATACTAATTTAATGGAAATATTTGGTATGCCTTAGACATAAACTCCTTGTGCCTGCTGATTACCTTTGTTACTGCTGGAGCTGTTGTATCAAATAAGAACTATGTTGTCACTTTTAAGATTCTGCCAAATTAATACTTGACTCTGTTAAAACTTCACTAGGGTATGTTTTTCTTATTTTACCAACCTTTTATTAAGTGTTTATATTATGTCTACCTTGAAGGTAAACTTGCTTAGGGGAGAGATTGCAGGGCAATCTAACAACCTTAACATAGGGTTACACTGACTTGCAACTCGGTGGTTCTAACCTTTATTATCTGTTTCTAAGTAGTTCATGACTTTGCATAATTCATTTTATGTCTCTGGGACTTACTTGCTATGTCTGTGAATATCAATGATGCTCTTCTCTTGTACACCATGCTGTAAAATGTACTAATAGAAAGTTCAATAGAAGGGATGGCACTGCTTTTTGGGGTAGCTGTGATGTCCTAAGGATACAAGAGGATGAATGCTTTTAGCCCCAGGTGGGATCTTCTCAGGTCAGATGATTTATCTGGAGGAAGTTTTGCATGCAAGGCTCCTTCTACAGGACCCACTGTTTTTTATCTCTAAATATTGTGTCAAATTATAGTCAGCCCCTGGGCAATTCCACCAACTGCAGATAAAATTCTCCAGTTTATTCTTTATAAACCTTTAGATTTGGTTGTGCTGATTTTTCCCTTTCCTCAACAGAATGGCCACAATTTTAAGACCCGTAGCATTTCTAGGGGGCTCAAAATATTCCATAAAACTTATGGTGGGTTTCACACCTTAAATAAAATGCAGCCTTTTGGAGGCAGCAGTTTGCTCTTCCATGTGTTAACTGTTGCATTTAATAGGTATGTGTGCACAACAACATAATCTACTCTGTTGGGACGACCTGGGAAGATGGTTGCAGGGAATGCTCTTGCACTGGTGTGAGGGATGATGTTACGGGACTTCAGATGACGGAATGTCGTGACAAAGCGTGCAACACGTTCTGCTCTCGGGTGAGTGAACATCTAAACCACTGCTTCAGCCAGAAGAGCCCTGATGGGAATCTGAAATGATTGCTTTTAAACCTGCTTGTTTATGCAGAAACCAGAGAAAAGTAGAAAATGAGTGTTGTAGCAACGAAATTATCTTGGGAACGGAGTCTAAGAGGGCCTGAGCATTACTGACTTGATTTTAGGGTTATTGTTCCAGGATCGTATCCTGCTGCCAAGAACATCAGTGACAAGTTTATTTTGTATTTTGATAAAAGAAAACCCGCATCCTGAAGTGTCTGTCACTTACACCACTTGCACAATAAGTGTTCACAGCGTCTGAAGTTCAACCACAAAATGTCTGTTCTAGCTCAAGTTCACTTTCTGAAGTTCACATTTCGGATCTGTGCGTTGCTCAGCTCAGCCCATTGTATCAGTAATAACACCACATGCTGTGGCCTTTATTATGCTCAGACATCTGCTACATTGCCATAAAATCCTGTGTTTTGGAAGCCTGCAAAGGAAGTATGAGCTGCTCTGTCGTACTGACAGAGCTGGGTGAGCAGGAACAGACAGATAATTGGTACAAAAAACTGGGGGAGCAATAGGACTTAAGCTGGATATTAGGGAAGGGTTTTTCACCCAGAGGGTGGTTGGGCACTGGAAAAGGCACAGGTGAGATTGTTGGAGCTGTCCTGTGCAGGGCCTGGAATTGGACTTGGTGATCTTGTGGGTCCCTTCCGAGTCAGGATATTCCATGACTGTGTGACTTGAAGCAACTCCTCTTTAGTCTGTGGTTTCACGTGCTCACATTCTGCAGGTTGAGGAGGCTGTGCAGGGTCCCTGTGGAGCAACTGTGTGAGGTTCAGAGTATTCTCGGAGGTCTTTTTTGACCCAGGATTTTCCCCATGAGTTTGTCCTTGCTTGAAGCATGAACTGAAATCCAGAAGCAGCTGATTTGTTTTATTGCCCGGTGCGGAAGCAAAGATGAGCTGGTTAATGCTCTTTAATTCTTAATAATTTAAAATATTTATATAAGGCTACATATTGCAGCAGGCCCCACAAAAATCAAACCAAGTATCATTTCCAAAGGTGTGTTGTGAGATCTTTACTAACATGTCTGGGAGTCAAAGTTTGACCTTGGGCATAGAGCATTTACGTGTAGCACCTCAAGACAGAACTAATGTTGTGGCAGAAACCCCGAATTGCCTAAGGAGTTTTAAATTTACACTAATATGTGCTTTAAACCAGTAAATCATGCACTGTAATTTGCCTATGAACTTTTCAGTTAAGCAAACCAAAATCTGAACACCATATATGTGTGTAGTTGAGAAACTGTGAATAAGATAGAAACTTTTTTTTTGAGTAGTATTGTCCTCTGCTGTGTCTTAAATGCTGCATCATCCTCTGGGACCAGAGCAAAACCCCAATCCATTAGAGAAAAACCAACAAACCACCCTAATGCTTCTGCAAGTGCAGAGTTGGGGCAGAAAGTTGAAAGTTGCCAAATGCAGTGAAAGCTTGAGGGTGGATGTGAGAGTTTTCAGCTGTTGCAAGAGAATCCCTTCAGTTTTTTGTTTCTAGCATGGCAATTGCTATGAAATACTAGATCTAAAATAACTGGCTATGTTTCAATATCAAAAAAAAACCCACAACAACACACACACATGTTTAAAAACAAATAAAAAGACTATTTAAAAACAAATAAAAAGACGAGGTGGAAATGCTGCCAGTTCTTTCTGGGAATCTGTCATTTCTTCTGCTCCTTTAATGGTTATCAAAGTTGTACAACCAAAACTGTAGCTGTTGGAGTACCTGGATAGCTCAGATTTTTTTTTTTTTTCCCTTTACTTATTCCTGATTCATGGATATACATATCAGGAATAGCAGCAGTGCTGTAATGCAGTTTGAATTGACTTTAAAGCTTATTTTTTCAGTGAAATTCAGGTCCTGCAGCTGGATTTTGCTTTATGCTGGACACAAACAGCTCATGGATTTTTACTTCTCTGAGTTTGCCACACAAGTAAAAAGTTGTATCTGATACTTCCAGTGCTTCAGACCTGTACTGAGCAGCTAAAAATAATACAAAACAAAAAGCACAACTTTTCCCCCAAAGCTGGGTCAAACTCCAGCATCATATTTTATAATATTATATGAAATACACTTCCATGTAAAAGTCCACTGATTATCAAGGTTTGCCAATGTGCTTCATGTTGCAAATCAGGGATATTTCCTGAAAGGAGGGTGCAGTTGGGAATACTTCAGTAATTCAGTTCAAAGGGTTTGACCAAAATAAAATTGTGCTTATTTTCATTGGCATTTTTCACATGAATGGTATTTTCTATGGCAGAACATCTTTCTTTTAACTCTATATTGAAATCAGTTATGTTTTGCCCCTTGGAGGCTGCCTGGCTATTAAATGTAGAATACATTAATTCTAATTAGATTAAAGCTCATTGCTTTCTTTCGGTTACATGCTCCAGTGTTTAAGTATTTGGTTGCTTGTTTCAGGAGATGAATATGTATTTATGTATTAAAAGTGAGAACTGGGATTCCTGTTGTTTCTGTGGTGTTTTTTCTTTTCTTTATTTTTTTTAATTGACCTATTTATGATTTCCCTGAATTCACAAGATTTTTCAGTTCTCTGGTGTATGAATGTATCACAGGCTCTACTGTTCAGTTATAATTTTCATGCTGCTTATTTTATTTTCCACATTTAAGTGTTAGACTTTGATAAGCTACATTATTTCTGGTGTTGCACAGTAGTTTCATTTTATGTTATCCTCATTTGTAGAATTTTTTAAAAATACCTTTTGCAGTTAATGTTTGGGCTTATATTGTTTTGGACTTGGCAGTGCTGGGTTAATGGTTCAATTTGATGACCTTAAAGGTCTTTTTCAACTTAAATGATTCTGTGACTGTATGAAAAGATGAAATGATCAATCAAAACTGATCCCTGGGCTACATCTGACCAATGTTTTCTCTCTGCTTAAGCAAAGGGCAGTCAGATACTTGAATGTGCTCAGACTGAATTTCACCCTTGAATTCTCAGGAGTGGGGAGTTTTTCTTTTATAAAATATGTGTTTATACATGTATATATCTAAAATGTAAAATTTTTTTTAAAATAAAAAAAATAAATCTCGTAACTATATATGCCTGGTATGTAAAAACAGTGACTTAGTGTAGTGGGCTCGTTTAAACTGGATATATATTCACATGCTGTTTTCTCTCAAAATTTGCCAAATAGCAGGGCAATTCTCTCAACCTTAGAAGTGGACTTATATTTTTTCTTTTTGCACTCCTCTATGGGACTGTATTATTGGGAAGAGTTGCTCTTTGCAGTTGGTAAAATAAACTGCACAAGGCCCACCAGCTGATGGGCATGACCTGAGCAAGGACAACATCTCGAGTTAGTCCACGTAGCTGCAGTGAAATATAGATTAGGCAGGAACTAATGAGATAAGAATTTCTGTTCCCAGTGTTGTGTGCATTTTAATTTCTCTTTTCTAACAGGTAATGGTAAAGGTTCATTAGGATGCTGAGCTGGGTCAACCACTTGTACCAGCAACGTGGTGGCCTTAGGGTTGTTTTCCAAGCTCGCCTTTTCAGCAACTGGGGCTGGCATTAAACATCAACCCCTTTTAGGATTTGTCTCTCCTATTCCTGGATCAGTCAGTCCTTTTATTTTCTCCCGCAGGGCTACAAGTACGTTGTCCCGGAGGGGGAGTGCTGTGGGAGGTGCCAGAAGGTGGCCTGTGAGGAGCCGCGCTTTCGGCCCCGGGGTGATGCTGACCCTCCTTTGTATCAGGTGAGGTGGTGCCAGCGGTGTGGATGCTTCCTCTTCCAGCAGGAACGCCCTGGAATTGTTCCATGTTCCACAGGGGGAGGTGAAAAAAATACCAGATGTTTCTCCTATACATCAAGCATTGGGGGATAATGGTTTGGGGTGGGATGTGACTTGCCCGCTTGATTCTAACAAGTGAACCTTCCCCACCCTTTCCTGGGTAAGATGTTTTGTGTAAAATTACTGATTTCAGAAGTGGTAGCTCCAAGGAATGTTGGTGGGACATAATGCTGTCAGCTACTTGTTTAAATTATCCCAGTTAATTTCTACTGCTCTGTGGGCAGCAGATGGATGGGGTAGTGGAATTTTGCACAGTCCAATCCAAATAGGATATCCTCTTTGGTACACCCTGAAATATCAGGAAACAGTGAGGATAGAAAGGTGAATTATTCTCTGGTTGCTGAAGATGGTAGCTATATATCAGACCAGACCACAGTGGTCCAGGCCACACTTGTTTTCTGCTCAAAAAACCAGGTTTTTTTCAGCAATGTGCCTCTACCCTGAGGATTCAAAGACCCACTGAGAAGTGAGTGCATGCAACACCCATTTAAAATGCACTGCAGATACTCTACCATTCTGCAAAGCTACTTGCATGTTTGATTTTTTTCTTGCCTGCAATTTTAATTCCTTCAGTCTATTCAGCGTTCTATCCCTAACCCAACCAACCTTGGCAAGCTTTTGCCAGCCTCAGGAGCCTTAAATTGCTTAATTCTATGTAGAGCTTTGGATTCAACAAAGGCAAGAACAGTAAATTAAATATATTTAAAATAATAGGCCACCCCATATTTTTTTTCTCCAAGTGCTGTTCTTTATAATGTGTCTGTGTCTTTATTTACATCTCACTTTCCCATATTTAATATTTACTTTCTAATTCCTTCTTTGACAAAGTGATCTGCTGCTGTCTTAAAAAAACCCAGACATGTGAACGCATCATTTTGCAGCCTGCCCCTTCCCTGATTTTAACAAGGGCATTTCCTAATGTGGATCAATAATTTTTGTAAAACGAGTCCTTAGAAGGCCTATTTAATGCCCCACTGTGTTATACCCTGCAGTCTCTCTTGCTGGGCCCTCTTTGAATTCTTTTGTCATTAACTGAGAACTGAATGCTTAGCACATGAGAGGAAAGTGTAGCCTAAGATGTTTGAATTTGCTGAAGTTGAGGGTCTGATTTTCACTTTCACTGTCCTTGAAGCCTGTTTGGAATGGTACAAGTGGAGGCATAAAGCTGCAAAGCAGTGATCAGCTCCTCCCAGCACTGAACTGTGGCAGCATCTTCTTTCTGACCTGTGCTGGTGTCCCTTCCCATAAATAGCACTTGAAGTTCCCTCTTTGTCTGACCCCGTGGGTGATTATAATCAGTAAAACTATCAGCAGGTCCTGGATATGGTCTCTTCTACATTTACAAGTACAACCTAAGTAGAATAAGTAACCTAAACCTACACATTTTCCACATGTTATTTGACCTGTCCTTTTATTTTCCACCTCTAGGAATTACCCCTCTAATAACTCCTATTCTCTGCAAACTAAGCAGCTCTATAAACTGATTGCCGTGGTGAGGATTTGTGGAGCACAGACTGCTCCTGATGCAGTAAATGTGCTTTTGGCAAAGCAGCCTGCTGGCTGTGGTGGTCTTCCCCCTCTCCAGTGGCACAAATACTGCTGCCTGTGTTTAATCCTTTCCCAATTCCCCATCAGGTCGGCTCAGAGTGGCGATCCCCCTTCGACCGCTGCGTTATCAACTCCTGTGTCCAGGTGAACAACGAGGTTTTTGTGCAGGAAAAGAACGTTTCTTGTGCTCAGATGGATGTGCCTGCCTGCCCAGAGGGGACTGAGCTGCAGTGCAACCAAATAATAGACTGCTGTCCTTCCTGCAGATGTGGTAAGGTTTTTAGGGATGACAAATGGATAGGGCTGTGCAGGACTAGGAGTTGGACTCAGTGACCCTTGTGGGTCCCTCCCGACTCACCATTCCCTCCAGCTGCTTCCCAGATGATGTTCACTGTCTCCTGTTGAACCACTTACTGTTGAATCTCTTTTGCATTGCTTCAGAGACACGTCCTGGGCTTTGTTTCTGCGCTGCTCTCAGCCTTTAAGAGATCTTGAGATGCTTTTGATATTGTACCATGTGCTTGTTAAAAAAATAGCTCAGCAAGGGGTGCTTTGAAGTGGAATTAAGGATAACTGACAAATACTGCTGCCTTTCAATGTATGATGAATGTAAGACTCTTTACAGTGAAACTTGGTGTGCATTTCTTCAAGTTGGAACTATAATAAGTCATACCTTTGACTGATAAATCTCGGTACTGTCATTTTAATGCTAATGCTAAATGGAATATTGTCTTCTTTTCCAGTCCCCCTGAATGGTTGTCCTTTGAATGGCACCGTAATTGGGGTAAGACACAATTCCTTTTGCTTGTGATGGTAAGAGATTTAGGTATATGAATCAGCTTTTGAAGGAAACATTTGCCAGAATACACAGAGGGAGAATAAAGGGCAATATGTCCTGTATGACAAGGAGTGTCTCTGCAAAATAGGGACAGAAATGTTTCCTTGTCTTGAAAAGGATGCTTGAGAAAAGTGCTTAGAGACAGTGGTAATCTGCATTATGTGATGGTTTGCAGACTACCAAACACACAGGAAACTATGTGCGAGGGTTAATCTCAGAAATGATCCTTGCCCACTTCAGGGAAGCCAAAAAACTTCCCATATTCTACTTGGAGGATAAGGCAGATTAGAAGTAGATGGAGACTTGCTCCACCTGTGTGGAAGGAGAGGTATCCCTCCTTGGCTATTAGCAGCAACAGGAAAGCTGAGCTTCCTCACTGTTTGACCTCTTTTCCCTTTCAAGATCCCTGCTGATATGCCCTCTGAGGAAATTTTTCCTCAACTGTGTATTTAATGGATAGATTAAGACATGTTTGACCCAGCCCATGACAGTGGGAATGATGGGAGTTAAGCATCTGATCTCATTTATGCCGAATTTATCTTTGGAGAGCTCTGTCAATTGTCCATTGTTTCCCTAAATCCATATTCTGGCAGCACCTCTGGTGTCAAAGAGCTCTAAATATTCTCATCATCCCCCAGGGAAACAGGTTGTCTTTAGTCATTTAACCCAACTTTTAGCCTATGTATTCCTGCTTTGTCAACATATGTCTTCCTTTTTCATTTATTTAAAGGTGAATTTACTCAAATACCTTTCTATTTTAGAGGAGAAACGGCAGGGGGAACATTTATCCATCTATTTCCTTTGGCTTGTTTGTTTGTTTTTCATAGTCAATAGGCATAAGTTTATCAGCATTTTAGAGCTAAAGTCTTGTCATCAAGCATCCATCATTCTGTGCAGGGATTGCTTCCCTGGAGAACTAAATCCAAGGAATAACTCTGCCTTTCTTGTCAGAACACTTGCTTAAAAGTGGTAAAAATCTGAAATAATCTTCTTTCTTTTTGATCCCTCTATAGTATGTCTTCAGAAGTAGTTGTGGCATTCCATAAAGAACATACTTGTAGGGAATGTCAAGCAGGATAGTAATTCCCAGATCCTGCCACTGATCTGTCAAGTAAAGTCTTTTTTTTTTTCCTCTCTCAAATTTTTTGAAATATTTAAAAATGCTTTAAAATGAAGCATAAGCAAATTTTGAAACGAAATGCCACCTTGAGGGCCAAATGAGAAATATCTCTATTTTTGAGATTTCAAAATATTTCTGCTTCTACAGTATGGAAAAAAAATTCCAATTTAATCAAATTATCTGAATTTATTATAAATTTATGAAGTGTTTCAGCTGAAAAAAACTACATTTTGATTAATTCTTATTATATTAGAACTTCTCTAAAATGAATGAACTTTTCAGTTAAGCTTCAATATAAGCTTCATTTAATGAGGTTTTCTAGTGCCCCAGCTTAATGATATTCACTGCAAAAAGTTAAACCAGGAAAGCCGAGAGTCCTCCCACTTTGTCCCTTCAGCATCAGTGTTTTGTTATTTTGGGGTTGAAATGAAGGGCTCTGCACTTGGGCAGAAGAAAGGCTTTGTATTTAGAATTCCTCTCAGTGCTGGGAATCCAGTTGCTAACCCCACATCCTTTTGTTTCCCATTTAATGGTTTGGCATTTTTGCTCTACATTTGGAATGTCAGTTTACTTGCTTTGAAAAGGTGATGGGATCCAGCAAAAAAAAGGTGCTGGGGGAAGAGCTCAGGGAATTCCAACTGTGGGCCAGCTCAGCCACTGATTTGCTTGTAACTATGGCCAAGTAGGGGTTCTTCAATCAGTAATTCTGTTTCTGATTTTGTTTTATTTCGTCCTTTCTCAATTTTAAGCTTTTAGGCCTTTAGAGATTCCAAGCAGTATTATTACAAGAACAATAACAAGCAATTTCTGCCCATCCATCTGTGGGTTGTGACGGCTCAAGAATAAAAACTTGTTGGCAAACCACTTTATTACAGCTGAAAAATGAGCTGTTGGCAACCACACAGCCAGGACAGCTCATGATAAGATCTTCCTCATGACTTTCAAGGATTCCTTTCTTGCTTGCTAGCTTTGTAAGCAACAAAGTAAGAAATGCCAGTGCCATTTCTCAGATTAAGGACTTCTAAAAGGCTTTACTAAAAAACAGCCTCACGCTCTGCTGCTTGTTCTGGGATTAGAGATGCAAAAATTCGGGTCTCTGGAAACTGAGGGTGTTGGATTTCTTATTTGTCCAGCAAAGAGTTACAGGGCAAGATTTAATGAGAGAGAGATTTATCCTAGATAAAATGGCTTGTTTATTTGAGTTTTGTTGAAGAGACAGCCTCTCACTGACAAACTGGTTCTGATGTTCCAGGCCGGGAGGCGCCTGATGGTGGATCAGTGCACCACGTGCGACTGCTCCTTCCAGCCAATGCCTCGGAAATACACTCTGAGATGTACAAAAGTGAGCTGCCCACCGTGCCCAGCGGTAAGTGAGAGCAGTCTGGATGTTCTGCTTAAGAACTGTCTGATGAGAAGGTCCTGTTTTCGTTGTACACACCAATTTACCTTTGGTATAACTCGGGGACCTTTTACCTTTCGTCAGGTTTCTGTGAGAAGTCGTTTCTCTGTGCTCTTCTTCCCATGAATTAGATGATATGAGACTTAATCTGACCTAACCATCCTTCAGGGCTTTTCTCTGACTGTTCCATTAACTGGGCTAGCTAGTATTTCTGTCCACTTCCCAGCCATGCCTCAGGTGATTTGAGGTGACTGTCTCCATCAGTCCCACTTGCATTTCTGAAGCCTTTGCTGCTGCTTTGCTGCCATCACCTGCAAGGATTGAGTTTGGCTGTTAAAGCCAAAGGAAAATATCTCCTGTTTTTGCTTGACTGACCAACTGTGTGACTGCAGAGCCTGACTAGCTCTGCTAAATCATGTAGTTTTCTCTCCTGACACCAGTGCCTCACGCAGGAGGAGACCTGAGCAAGCTGTAGAGGATGGTTTAATCTCCCCGTGCCCAAGAGCACAAATCAGCAGCTAAGCTTCACAGAAAAAGGCTTAAAAGCCCCTTCCTCTTCTGCCTTTTCCTGGATAATGGATGGAACCCAATGGGCCCAACCACACCCAGGGACCTGTGCAAGCCCCAAAAATCCACATCTCTACCATGATCACATGGGATTTCTGGCTGATATCCAAGAGAGGCACACATGGATAAGGTCCCTGGACAAGAGAGGGTCAGGGTTTCAGATGAGTTCAGTTTTCAATCTCTAAGAAATGGAAAAGACTGGAAATGTAGTAAGTCAAATTTCTGTAGGGATTCATCTCTACTAATAAACAAAATAGAGCAAGACTGCAGACTCAGATTATTCCCTGACACCCCTTAGGTTTAAGAATTGTCAGCAGTGTCTCAAATGGCCTGTTGAGACTAGAAAACTTCCAAATAGTGCCTGGGCACAGGACAGCCTAAGACCAGCCTGTTTTGAGTGGACAATGCAGATTAGACATACATATGTGTCCTGCTTGTCTTCAGGGCCAGAAAACTGGCCTTGACCCTTTTTATTTGCTGGTGTGGATGTGGACTGTGGGAAAAGAGAGAATCTGGAATGTTTTCTGTGGTTCTGGACCCTAATGTCACCCCTCCTGTAAGGTATGATTATAGCCACAAGCTTCTGAAGGGTAAATAAATGGCCAAACTATGTGGTGAGCATCTTTCTCACTTCCACAAGACATAACCTGGCAGACCCATGAAAAAACAAACAAACAAACTTAAAAAACAGATACACTAGAATGAATCTGGGGCCAGAAGCATGTGTGCATGTATATGTTCCCACACAAAAATACACAAACATCCATTCTTGCTGTTCAGTGCAAGAATCCAGCTGTAGGAATTAAAGGTAGAGGAATCATTATTATACATGGTAAAAAAAAAAAGAATGGGGAAACATTCCACTCCGGCTTCTTTCACCACCCACACAGTTCCCAAACAGCTCCTTTCTCCCACCTGACCCAAAAGCACCGACAAAACAGAAAAACCCTGAAGAAAGGGCCATTTCCAGTTGGGCTTATGAAGGACTATGAATTTGGAGATGTGCAGCTACCCAAGGGAAGTTGCAGGTCTAGGTATAGATATCCCTTTTTACCCACTGTAATGAATCTGTGGAGCTTGAGGGGGGAAAAATATCAAATAAGATACAGAATGAATCCCTGTAAGGCCAGTGGGATTCACACACAGACTTGAGATCTTTGCTGTCTCGAGGTCTTTGACTTCATGGTATAAAAGCAATTCAGCAATTCCTTCATAGTGGATAAAACCAGATATGTAGCAGAGCAGTTATTCTCTCAGGAGCGCCTGTTTTCTCCTGGATGCTGAAGTTGTGAAAGTAAATGCACTGGTAATTGAAGTGCAGCCAACTGCAGCATATTCTGCTCAGGAGGGTCATTTATTTTGGACATTTTACAACCTACTTTAGGTGCTTACATTTTTGCTAGTAGAGCAGTTTCACCTAAATAACAATGAACTATGTTTTCTCCCAGTGATTTAACAGTAACCCCCACCTTTCCCGAATTCTCTTTCTATAAAAAACATGTGGATGACATGCATGCCTTCACTCAAGAAGAAAGTGTTTGTTGTCTTGACAATGTTCAGCTCATCTTAAGCAGCTGTTGGTCACCTGGAGCAGCTGGAGACATTACTGTGGGACACTTCACAAGTTAACTCGGTTCTTTTCTGGTTTGTTTTTTTTCTTTTCCTTTCCATTATCCACCCTTTATCTTTCTTCCTCTCCTTGTAGTGCTGCTTATTCTCCCATGCTCTTTTCCTTACCACTGTTTTTTCCTTCTGTGCTGTTTATGGGGCTCCATATTCCTTTCTTTCCTTGCTTTCTCTCCTTGCTTTCTTTCCTTCCTTCTTTATCCCTCTCCCCCTCTTTCCCTTTCTTCTTCCCTTTTTCCCTCTCCCTTCCTCCCTTCCCTACTATATTGTAGCCCCTCTGATGCTCTTTTACTTTCTTGTTTTATCAGACCATTTCCTTTTTCTTTCCACTGTCCAAATTTTCCACCCCAGCCTTTTCCTCCCCTCTCCCTCCCCACTGGTTATCCTGCCCTTTTCTCCCTAATTTAAGCACTTCCAACTACTTTTCCAAGCTACCCTCTCCTACTGTCACAAGTTGTTTAGTGATCCTACCCTTGCAACTGTTATAGTCAAAGAATGTTGAATTTTGTGGGCACAGAAGTGGAAATAAACCTTTTTCACCCATTATATAATAAATCAGTATAAGGATTAATGCCAGCCTTTAAAGAAAATTATGCAATTAATTAGATTAAACAAGTCTAGTCGTACGGTTTAAAAAAGCATTTTCCTGGCTATCACTTTGTTCGCTGTATTTTACTCTTTTAAAAAAATCCTTCTTAAAATAAATGCAGGATGCGTAGTTAAAACAAAATAAATCCAGAAAAATGTCCTTAACCTTCTAGAATTACAGAAGGCAGGACATCCCTGGCTCTTGCTGTGGAAAATGTGTGCCAACTTCCTGTACCATCAGGCTGAGAGATGGAAGGATTCAGTATCTTCAGGTAAGTTTGAAGTACTCTTCCTTTTATTTATCAAAAAATGTAAATGTATCACAGGCTTTTGATAGGGTTTAGTGGTGGGCTTGGCAGTGTGAGGTTAATGATTGGACTTGTTCTTAAGGGTTTATTCCAACCTAAATGATTCTGGGTGTTTTATGTATTGTGTTTTTTTTAATGAAGCTCCCAACTCAGTCAGAATGCAAGTAGTTTATCATATTTCTCTTTAAAAGACAATTCATAGGCTAAACTCCTAAGTTTCTCACTTAAAAAAGTTTCTCATTTAAGTTAATGGAAATTTCTTCCCTTTTGAGAGCTGAAACAGATCAGGTTTTGGCAGTCTTGACAGAGCTGTAACCAATAAGACTGTGGCAGTAAATAGGAGATGATGACTTTGTAGAGAAACAGTTCTGTTCACTAAAGATTTCTGTAAATTAATAATATAAAATAATATAAAATATAAAAATATAAAAATAATATAAAATTTCATTTTATAAATGCCCCCCACCTTGGTAGATTAACCGAAATACCAGTAAATGAATGAAAACTTCCCGTCCCACGTTGTTTCCGTGTGAAACCAACAGCCCTTAAATCCTTGCAGCCAAATGAAACCCTCCAGGATGGCTGTGACAGCCACTCCTGCAGAGTCAACGAGAAAGGGGAGTTCGTCTGGGAGAGGAGAATCACGACCTGTCCTCCATTTGATTCCAGGAGATGCTTGGCTGAAGGAGTAAGTAGTGAAATGTTTGCAGGTTTTCTGATGGACTCTGTCATGGTTATGGTGCTGTATTAAGATCTGTGTTGTTTTTTTGTGGGGAAGTTCTGCAGGGGAGAAGTAACTCTGCTAGAAAGCATCGTAGATGAATATGAAGCTGACTACTTGAGGTATCAAATATATGAAAATGTTTTTTCTAACTATATATATATGAAATGTATATATAAAGTATATATAGTTAGAAAAAAATATATATAAAGTTTTATATTTATGTAAAATATATAAAATATAATTTTCAGTTTGATGTCCAGAGCAAAACTCAGTAAATAATTATAAAAACTGAGAAAATAATCAGGTCGGTCCCCCCCCCTTCTCTTTTTTTCTCTTTCTTTTTTTTTTTCTTTTTTTTTTTCTTTTCTTTTTTTTTCCAAATAAATATTCATATGAAATGGTAAGACATTTTTTCTCTGAGGTTAGGGAAATTAATAATTACACTGCTGTAGGAAGCTCAGGGGTTTAGTGCAACAATGGCATCATCCTGCAGAGTAGATATTGCTCAATTTTTCTTTTCACTTTGGGTTTTCAGCAATTTTCACCATACAAGTATTTTTGAGAATTGTTTTCTGAATGGTAGTAATGAAACAAGAAACAAAGTTTTTGGCTTGACAGATGTGATATTTTGTGCTGATTTGTTTGAACATTTTCAGCTGTTGTGGAATAGACATACTTTCATCTATACTGATGAAAAAATAATGAATGACTCTTTAACTTTGTTTTCTAAACACATTTAAGACTTGAATGCTATTGATTTTATCACTCTGATTTCCAGGAATTTATTTATAGCCAATGTTTTTACTTTAGAAAGCTCCTAATAGAAGGTGAAAGCAAGGTTATTCAGGTGTTGAACTTGCTAATATAATTCATTATTTCCAATCAGCTACCAACAAATACAGCCACAAGTTCAAAACATTAAAAAGGATAAAGATTATTATTGTAGGTTTATATTTTTGTACAATATAGATACAGGTGGGTTTGGTTTTCTTTGTCCTAATATCCTGTTATACACGTTCTTTGGGTTCCTTCAGCAGAACAAATGTGTGTCGCTTGTGCCAAAATCTCAATTTTCTGGTTTTTTTTTTTTTGTTGTTGTTTTAGGGCAGAATTGCAAAAATTGGCACCACCTGCTGTGACACATGTAAGTAAATGAGCCAGGGGTCTTGTATGGAAACTGCAGAGGGTGTAAGCTACTGTGTAAGGGGCTACATTTTGCATGATGGGCAGTTAAATGAAACAGAGCTCAGCAATGTGGTTATAATAAACCATCAAAGAATCCCTGCCCTCTGATTGGGATCCTGCTGTCATGTTTTGTCATCTAGAACACGTGTTTTGTACTCACAAGTGCTCAGAAAGAAATAGATACTCTGCACGTTTTATGCAGATGTTAATTATGAATGCTTTATTTTATTTGTTCATCTGGTGACAACAGGAACAGCACTGCACAGGCAGCCTGACAAGGCACATAACCTGATACTACTGAATATGTGAGGAAAACACTTCATGAATAATCAATCAACTGAAAATTAATTTAGAAAAACAAAACAAACCAAAACAAAAAACCCCAACACAGCAAACCAACCCCCCAAACCTCGTAGCAGTAATGGTTTTTGGTAATATCATAACCAAAAAATGGTAGTGGAAATGCTTGACAAAGGTGCATTCCTATGGCACAGCCTGACTGCATCTTAAATTTGGCAGTTTAGGAGTCAGTCCTGCAATTCCTAATTTCATGTGTCCAAATGCCAGTTGGGCTGTGAGTGTAGGAAAGGGTTTTGCTTACATAAGGAAGGATTGCAGGCTTGGGTTCTCATTTCTAAAATGAATCTCTGATGCTTTTGTGAACAGATAACCTCTCAGTTTTCTCCCTTGTAAGTAAAAAATTAATAATACTGTAAATACTTATTTTAGAAAAAATAACAAAAGATGGGTATTCTTTTATGAGGTCAGAATATCAACATCTTGCCTGTCCTGTTATGTTTTTAAAAATTTTCTATTATATTTTTTTTTATGCTATGCATGTGCTAATAAATAAAAGATGGCCAGCATAGCAGCCCATCACCACACTGGCACAGGGACTGCTGCAATAATACCCCTGATGAAGGATATCAACTCCTAGGGAGTTTGCAGCCATTGCCTGCCTTGTATAATCACTGGGCTCTGGCTCAAGAAATAGAAAGCTACTGAGATAGACTGTCATCAGATGGATCAAAGAGGTAATTTAGTTGAGAGAGCTTTGATCTACCAGGCTTCAAGTAAGGAATACTCAAAATTATTCATTAACAAAAGCAGATTTAAGATTTCAGAGAAGGGTGGTGGGCAGGCTGAGCTAATTGAGAATTCCAATCACTACTTGAGGAGAAACCCAGTCCCAAATGAGCAACAGCTCCACACAAATATTCATTAAACAGTTATTTAGAAGGGATGCCTCCTTGCAGCAGCAAAAGCAAACTAAGTGAAATGCTTTGTGCCCCAAAACTCCCATATTGTAGGGACCTTCAAATCCTCATTCCTGCTGGTGTTTGCCTGGATACAGCTCAAAACTGAAAAGCCCTCTATTCTAGCACAGTCCTGGTGTTTGGATGCTTCCCTGTTCAGGGCCTTTCACAGGGAAAAACCCACCATGCTGCCTCCAGCCAGCTGAATATGGGTTATCAATGGAAGGATGGTGATTAACACTTAGCTTTGAATCAAAGAGACACTTCTAGACAGCAAACCCTCTCCTTTCCCCTCCCCTGTATTTATATTTTCTCACCAAGGGCACTCAGTAGCAGCACTCAGCCTGCTGCATACTCCACAGGGAACACCGAGGCTTGGCAAAGCTACTGCACAACCACAGCAATTTAATTATTCTTACAAGTCAGACAAGAGAATAATTAGCTTCTCATGGACACAGGTTACGTTGCCTTCCAAGGCCTTAAGAGAGTCTGTCTTTCAAATGTCTCAGTACCATCAGAACTGGGTAAAAGAAAACTCCTCTCGAGCCCAGGGTGATGCCCTTGGCTCAGCAGAGTCCTACATGTCTTTAGGCAAAGGTTATTTCAGAAGCCTGTTTCCCTTCCTATGTAATTCCTTCATAACTGGAGTTTGTCAGTGTGTCTGAGGGCTTTGGTCCAGGTTTTAAGCACGACAGTGGTCAGTGGAGAGGCTTATTTTCCCACTGGATTTTTGTGGAACTGGCAGAGGACTTGAGAATTGCAAAGGGCATTCCTTGTTTTCTCACTTAGCAATTGCATCTTTGCTTCTTACACCTTTCCTCTGTTGATCTCAGTTGCACATGTCTTGTTAAGTTACAAACTCTTCCCTTTGCAGAGGAGGCACAGCCTAGAAGGAAAAAAAAGTAAAAGAGAGTAGTAAAGTAACTCAAGAGCAAAGAAACAAACAGGCAGGTGTTAGATGGTCAAGGTGACTTTAAAACAAAGCAGTCAATTGAAAAGGAACATGAGGGAAACCCTGCTCTCCAGTGGAATTTTAGGGCTGTAGTGTGATATAGTCTACTCTAAGCAGACACACCTCACCAAGGATCTTACCAGGAATGACATTTTGCTACAAGCAGTTTCAGGAATAAGGGGAACTGAGTTACAAAAAAACAGTTTCCAGAAATGTCAAACACTTTTTTTTCTTTTGCTTGGTTTCAGGTGTGGAAGTGGAGTGTCGGCCAGTAAGTACCAGGGTGCAGTACGGGAACATCAACGGATGTGTGGCTGAAAGGGAAGTGCCCATTTCTCACTGTGAGGTAAATAACAAAAGCAATTACCCCCTGCCCCAAAACCTGGCCTTCCCCACCTTCCCTCTTGTGAAAGGGAACATTTTCCTCCACTAGGGCTTCACTTCAGTGAGGGGGGCATCAGCTTCTGTCCTGACTGATTGACTCAGTGTAAAACTCATTGGCATTTATCTCCTGAAGTGGTTTGGTGATGCTGAGTTTTCCCTATTCAAGCCAGCATGAAAAAAAGGCTTATATGTTAGACACAAGGGCTGTGTTCATCCCACTTTCCTTTGCTTCCACCGGAAATTAATGACTCTGAAGTGACTCTGTGAGGAATTTCTACTTAAAAGAAAAGAATTTTTATCTTTGCATCGGTAAAGCTGATTTTCAGATCTGAGTCTGTAGTTAAGCACCGAGACTCTGAGGTTCATTGGGAGAGTGTAAAAAGGTGTTTTAGATGAATGATACTTTAAAAGACCTTTAAACTTGAGTGCCATGTTTTGATTTCTGTGCTTTATAAGCTCTGTAACTCTGTTATCCTCAGCGCTAAGCTGTTGTGTTCTACGTGTCTTGTGCATTTCTTCCATAATCAGATTAAATGAAATTTAATTTCCAACTTGTCACAGCTTACACCTTATAGGGCAACTTCCTTTAGAAACAGGAGCATGGCCTTGTGGTCCTTAGCCATAAAGTGATATGTATTCAAGCTTCTCCTGGAGAAGTATGGATTTTATATGCGTTTTTCTATTTAATGAGAGTCAGAAATAAGACCACAGAGCCACAGAAAGAAGTGGGGCTCTTTGTTTTTAAAGCATGAAAGGTTATAACTACAGGCACTGACAGCTTGTTCTAAGTTATTTAAGTGGCCAGACAAGGAAAAATAGCAACCAGCAGGACAACAATGGATGTGTGGTTTGTACCACTTGGGCTAAAGCATCTTCTGAATGTATGATCTCATGCAGCTGAACAATAACCACATGTGCTCAGAAGCCAGCACAGCAGTGCTGGACATCACCTGTGATATTTGAAATGATGGGCTTTTTTTTTTTTTTTGGTGTGGGACCAGTTTCTTCACCTCTCCTACACTTACTCTCATCACATGGGTGTTTTGAAGGGAAAAACTGGGATTCTGAGTGGAATGAGGTCTGGCACTGCTCAACCTTCCTATCTCTTTTATTTTTTTTCCATTTAGGGCAAGTGCAGAAGCAACACCAGGTACTCTCTGGAGACAGAGAAGTGGGAAGACCTGTGCAGCTGCTGCAAGGCCACTCAAACCACCCTGGTCACCATCCCGTTCCGATGTGCCAACGGGACCGTGGTGCAGCACTACATCCCCTCTGCCTCCCAGTGCGAATGCTACTCTAAGAAGTGTACAGAATGAGCCCTTCCCAGAAGCCCAGCTGTTTAATCTGAAGTTTTATCCTGAAGGAACTTCACGATGCAAGCCTCGTTTTCTCTGTAGACTGTCTTATCCTGTAGAATCCTGACTAACTGATTGTATCAACACAGCAAACAATAAAAACTTACTAGCACGACATTTTCTGATTCATCTCGGGGATGCTTTATGGTAGAGGTATTTCAGACTGTATTTCTCAGATTGTATTGTCCCCCTTCATCTTCTCCAGGGAAAGCAGTCCAAGGACAAACTCAAACCAACAACCACAAACAAACAAAGTCAAACCCCTAATCAGTTGCTTATACTTAAAGAACATATCCCAAATCATTGTCTTCAGAGACATTGCCCTTACATTCCCCACCTCAGTTCTGAGTGAAACACTGTGGATTTTTAACTTTTTATTGCCCCCAGCTCTGTTCAGGCACTGCAGTATTTATGGCATAGTAAGAGCATGATGTTCCTGATTATGGCTCAGACAGACAAATATATTTCTGCTGTGCATAATCATGTTTCTCCTGAAGCTGGATGCACAGAAATTGTGTGCTGAGGACAGGCTGTGTAAATTCTGCAAGTCCCCAGTACTTGTGAACGGGGTTAGGGACAGTCTCATTTACTTCATCCCTTCCACAGACCAACTCGAGGAGAAAGCTCAGTGATTATCTCGCTTATTTCCAGTTACCAGAACTTCATCTGTTGTATTAATTTCCAAAGTTAGGGGTCTTTCAAATGCAGAATTATCAGTGGCAGGTTTAGTTTAGTTACTGCTAGCAGGGATAAATTTGCCAGGATTTAAATTCCTGTCAGTCTGACCGGGCTATGAAACATAAAAGATTTTCCAGAGTGTTTTTGGTCCTGGAGGAATCTGGTGTCAGTGAAGGAGTTTCACTGGGAAGCACTAACTTCTCAAAAACATGAGAGAGGGAAGATCATTAATTCCATGTGCATTTTTGAAAGACAAGGATTATTTTTTAACATCTCATTTAGTTAATTTTTTTTTTTTAATAATGAATGTCACTGTCACATGTTTAAACGGTCAAAACACCTCCCCATCTGCATGAAAGGTTCTCTTTGGGAGCAAACAAGAACTCCTGTGCTTTCAGCTAAAAAAGGTAAGACCCCTGCTTCTTCTCTTTTGCCATTCAGCTGTGGATTCAACACCCATTGAATTGTAAGCCCTTTTTGTCTTTATTATTCATTCAAGATGTCCTTTATTGCTGGACAGTGCTAGAAGTGCAGGCCTTCTGTGCATCTCTCTTTCTTCTGTTCTGTAGGACCACAATAACACTGGGGAGAGAAACTAAGTTTTAAGTGGTACCAGCCCCACTTACTGCAGTAGGTCCCTGTCACCAGTTTACCTCCATCCTCACACCAGCTCCTCCTGGATGTTGAGGTCCCAGATGGATGGGTTCGGGTCACCCATGTTATCCATTGCACGGCAGTTCATCTGAAGCTGCGGGTCAGCAACTCCTGGAACAGCCACCTGCAGTACCAGGGAGGACCAGAAAAGGGATTCAAACTGGAAGAGAGCACATTTAGGTTAGATATGAGGAAAAAATTCTTTCCTGTGAGGGCAGTGAGGCACCGGCACAGCCTGAGCTGTGCAGAGCAAATGAGAGAAAGAGCTGAAAGAAACTTGTCCAGAAAAGCTGTGGATGCTCCATCCATGGAGGTGTTCAAGGCTGGGTTGGATGGGGCTCTGAGCAACCTGCGATAGTGGAAGGTGTCCCTGCCCATGGCAAGGAGGTTGGAATTAGGTGAGCTTTAAGGTTCCTTCCCACCCAAATCGTTCTCTGATTCTGTGATTCCCTGAAAAGGAGTGGATAGCAGGTAAAGGCAGTGTCTTCCTCTTACTGTTACTGGAATGCTGCTTTGTTTCTCACCCAGACTGACCCTTCTTAGCTCATGAAAGCTGACAGGATTGCAGCCTCAGGCTTCGTGGCTGCAGACAGGTCCTCTAATCAGATAATTGTGTGAGTCAGGCACTGGCTTATCGGCGAGATACAGACCATGAGAACCTGCTGGCTCTGCTGGCAGAACAGAGTCCTGGGGACTTTGTGGTAGTTTATGTGTTATTAGTACAGAGCTGCAGAATCTGAGCATGAATCCAAGCTTTTTTTTCTTCCCCCAAGTATTGTTTTCCAACTCATACATGCTGTCTGTGATTCTGGATGGTTTGGAGCTGCCCTAGTCCTTGCCTTTCCACCAGTGATCCAGGACACATCCCAGCACTTCAGAACTCAGTCTGGATTGCTGAGCGTGCTACAGGATAGATTTACAGGAGTGCCAAGTGGATTTGGGGAGGAGTCTTATATAACTTCTTAATAATTAAAAGCACCTAATCTCTCTGCTAACTTTTACAGACTTGCAAGCACTGCTCCTCTACAGCAGGTGAAACACAATCTGGTGTATTGGTATTATTTGTCACAGCTCTGCCTTATCAACTAACACCATGCCCAGGTACCTCAGGAAACATGGTGATGCCAAGATATGATTTTCTCCACTGGAAAGTCTTTAAAATGGACTGCAATCCCAGTTCCATTCTAACCAGCTGGTTATTGCTTCCTATCGTATTGCGTGCTGTGTATATTATTTATTACCTGAGCTAACTGCATTACCTGTAATGCACCCATCCTTATGGCTTATAGTAATTTGAACCTGTGCAGGCAGAGCTATAAATCCACAGGGATCCCAGCAGGACCTGGCTCTGCATTCCCATGCTGTTCCAAAATTAGCAGGTATGCCCTTCTGGTTTTGTGCTTAGTTGGTGCAGTGTAGATTATGGATATAAAATAGCACAACTTTCAGAAATTTTTTGTTTCCTTCTCCCTGAGATGAGTGTATAGAAAGCAGTAGATTCATTCTCTATCTAGGAAAGAGATTGTTTTCAAAACTTCTGGATGAAGTTCTAAGAGTTACTGGCAGGGGTGAAAAGAACCAAGTATTTGATATCTGTTGATACCTTACTTAGAAATTAGGAAATGCCATTCCAAAGGAGGGACTAAGAAAAATGGGGTGACTGACTGAGTTTAAAACACCATACGCATTTCTCAGCCATCCTGGGAAAATTTTGCATCACCCAGCCCAATTTTTGGCACACAGCAGCTGCAGTGCCCCTTTTATATACTCAGCATGTTTGGTAGCACAGCCAGAGAGCATCAGCACATCCGTATGTGACACAGATGACTTCTATTCCTGCCCGTCATTACAAAAGCTGTGATACTAATTTACAAGCTAGTAGAACCACTGGACTTTATTCAGTCGTTGAATAAATCCATTTCTCCCTCTCACTTTGGAGAAACCATCATAGAGTCATAAATAAGGTAAAACAAGAAACGTATTTGAAGTCAAATTAATTACATCTCCCTCCAATTACCATTAGCTACTAAAAGTCCTTTCTTGGATGGCATTGGGCATCAATAACTTTTCTTCCCAACATATTGCTTAAATTGTAAGGTTGAAGGCTAAGCAGGACCCATCACCTGTTCTGATCAGACTGTTGATTACAAGATAATCCCCTGAATATTTCATGCAGGAATGACAGTGCTGCATCCAGGCAGTAAGGTAACTTGAGAACTTGAAATAGAGCTTTATAGCAAGGTTTCTGCACTTACCTCCTACCTGGAAGCACTGCAAAGCTTTGCAGACATAAGGACCACTCTTCCCCACAGAAACCACCTCCAAGATGGTTTAATCCTCGAGCGATGGGTCTTTGGATAGAGCTGTAGAGCCCTGGTGCTGCATTAGCTGTTTCTTTGCTTCTCTTCCACTCCCTCTCCACCGCCTTCTAGGACTAAACGTGCCAGTTATGCTGCTTGTTGAGGCGTTGTGGAGCACGAAGACGAGATGCTGAAGTTCCAGCAGGGAATTGCCACGTCCCCTCATGCTGTGGGAGCGTTGCCTTTTCCCCCTTCTTCCCTCCATGAGGGTAATCACCAAAAGAGAAGGTCTGGCTAATTAGCTTGTTTGTGGTTTGCTTAAAGCAGGATCAGGGCAGGATGGAAATAGCTGCTGGTGCTGCTCACTGCTTAAGCCAGTGCAGGAGCAGGTTGTGCTCAGGATCAGCGTAGCCACATCCTATTAGCGCTGACGCAACTTCCAGCCAAACCTCCAGGCAACATGGAAACACACATGGCTGGTAAGTTTATTCTCTGCTCCGTTGTTAATTGCTGCCTGTGAGGTGGAATAGGTGGAAAGGAGGTGGGGGAACAGGGAGAGGAATGCTTAGAAGGTGTGAAAAGTACCATGGGGAGGAGGAACTTTTAGGAAGCTTCAGGAAAATTGAAGTATAGGTGTGACTTGGAAGAAGCAAGGGGTTAAGGCAAGTTCAGAGATGGACAGTCCTGCTGAGGCTGAAGGTAGGCAGCACTCTCCCACAGTTCCCTGACTCCTTTAATTTTCAGCACACTGTCCCAGCCATCTGCCCTGGGCTGGCAGACCTCCTGGGGAATGAAACTGGGGATGCAACCAAAGGGGGGAAGAAGCAGAAAACATAATTTTTGGGGTGTGCCCCTTCTTGCCTGTTCCCGCCCAGCTGTGTTCCCAGCAAGGACACATCCCCCAAATCTGAGTGCTCTGCAGGACCTCTCAGACTGCAGATGGAAAGGGCAAAACCACCTGTGACAAGTCCTGACTAATGCCTTGGACAGCCTGGGTGAATCTGCCTGTCTGAACCACTTTCCAGCACCCAGTTTGATTTGCCCCATGCTGAGCCTCAAGGACAATCAGCAAGAAGGATCTCTTGGGTAGGGATCAGTATCTCAGTTGTCTTCCTCTGCATTCGGCCTTTCATAGTGCTGCTTCCCCCTTTCCTTTCCTATCTCCAGAATATGATTAGAGAAAAAATACTCTTTATAAAGAGAACCATCCAATGCAGAGTTTAATTATGGGACTGATTTTAGTAGCAGCTAAGTAGTAAAGGACTAAACACCTAAATAGTTCTTTGACCATCCTAAAAAAGAAATACGAGATATTTGAAATGTAACAGCCAAATTCTATCCTTCTGTTATTCAAATAAGGCATTTGAGAACACTGCACTGATCTAAAATCAGTTATACAAGTGCTTCTGGCTATGTTGAAATCAGCAACTTTAGATGTGCATGTTCAGAGGTGAGAAGTCATTTGTTTACTGGAGACCTAAAGAG